AAACCACCCCAAAGCCAGGATTGGCTAACACTCCATAGCTGTCGATGTCGAGAAGCAACAACCTCTCTGGAATCATTCGCCAGCCGGCCATTTCACAAGCACGTAGTAGTTGAACAAACGCCGAGTTGCATGCGAACCAAGACTTTGCACGGTTGATCGCATGCATAGTACGCAGCTGCTTATTGTGTGTGCCGTCAGGCTGCATATGTCAAATTTCAATGCTTCGGGCCTCCCCACGCCCACGGCCCGAAAGACTTGGTCACCGCGCACACATCAAATTCCCAAAGAAAAGTGGGGGGCCTTCAATCCTTGGGCGTAAACATGCCGCAAGACGGGGATCCGTGGCTTTTACTGCAAGAGCTGCGCCAAATTGGGGATGACCAAAAATTGTTTCGCCAAACGAGAAACTTGACGCAGGAAGCTTGAAGCAGGAAACACCAAAAAGCGTAAACGCAGCGCAGGCGCCTCGACGGTCCAGCGGCACAGCCGAGACTTGGCTTGCATAGACATATGATGTAGGGTGGATTCGCTTGGCTTCGGATTGGCTTTGGGGGTCCGTGGGTTTTTTTCGAGCTGGCGGCGCCTGAGGGTTACGAGTAGTGCTTTGAGGGCTGTGGAAGGGTCATGGAACCTCAAGAGGCCATTGAGCACAAGGGTGGAAGAAGATGACATTTTTGCGACTAATTTCCAGTGGCTGCAATTCACCGGGTCACTTCACGTGCGTAGCGCGAGGAGTTGGGCCGTGAAGTTTCGCTTGGAGGCAGAGGTTGATCTTGAGAGGTATGGCCTATGCACCCAACAACTCGGCCTGCAGCCTAAAATAGCGAAAACCGAACAAGGTTGGGGAATTTGGCCTTCAGCCGGCACTCCCTTCCCGTCTTGCGCAACTGCTGTTGCTGTAGGCAGCGGTACGCAACTCACTGCTGCTCTGGGACATCATGAGGGAAGGCGTAGCCCGTGGCTTTCAATGCGGTTTTCGTCGCGCACCATGGAAGTTGGTACAGGGGTCCTTCTATGGCCCTTTTGGGATGGTCTAAGCAGTTGCGCAAACCGACCATGAGCTTCCTCTTGGGGATGTTTTCGGGCGACATTTTCGGCGCCCTGTGGCAGGCGACGCCGCGCCTCTCTGGAGCGGCGTTCTGCCCTTGGCGCCCTTTCTGCGACAAAGCTTCGCGGAGGCGACTCCGTCCTGCGGCTTCGTTCTGCGGCTTCGTTCTGAGATGGTTGCCCATAGGCGTCCTTTTTGTTGTTGTTTCAAAAAAAAAAAAACAGATGACCCTGGTTTACCAGGTGGTTTACTCATCTACCAGGGCCATCTATTTCCCCCAAAAGGACACCTATGTGGTTTCCACAACCCCCAAACCGCTACACCCAGGAAAATCAGGGCGTCTATCCTTAGTGGCTACAATATAGTGGCTGTACATTCCCATTGTGAAACCGTAATGGACACCACCTGCGGGGGATATGCAGGTCCGCCCGGGGGGCTTTGTAGCTTGAATTGCCGGTGAGGGCCGAGGAGACAAATTGTTTGCCTTTTGGATCCTTTTGGCTACTGAAGACCCCCTGATTTGGCAACTGCGCTTCCAACTGCCTTCCAGGATTCGGATGGCGAGACGGTGCCATGCACGTATTTGTACCCTCAGAGCTCGCATCTTCCGGGTTGCGAGCACCAATTTCGGCACGCCCGCAGCCGGCGCCCCAAGTTCCAGCGCCTCGCCGGCCTTGTCTCGTGCCATGAAAGCGCGAGCGCAAGCGCGGGGCAAAGTTTCCGGCATATTGGTTGGAGTTGACTTCCTCATGGAAAAACTGAGGGTTCAAGTTTGTCAAGGAAAGTGTGGCAAACCCAGTTAGCAATGATTTTAATTAAGGAACCGCTGGAAAGTGGTTGGTGGACATAAACCCCAGGGTCCCTAACAAAACAAGTCATGCCCAATCCGCACCTGAAACAATTCCGGGCTCAGGGGAAAAGCCGAGAAACTGCCTCCTTGGTTCGGCCCCCCCCCAGGTCACCACACGGTCCCATCCGAGCCACGAGCCAAAGCCAAGGATCTCGGCCTCCACGGAGGACCAGCGGAACTGGTGGCATCGATTGTCCCTGCTGGGGCCCAACTGCGCCGAGACGCAGATCGGCAAAGTGGGAAGCTTGGCTTCGAGCGAGAGCCAGGGGATCCGAACCCATATGCAACACGAGTTGGCAGCGTGCCATCTGAACATCCGATCCAAAGTGCCACATTGGGAGACGCTGTTAGCCCGTTTCGCCCCGAAAAGATGAATCACAAGACCTGGAATAGAGACGAAGACCTACCCCAACCCAACAACCATGTTTAAGCAACAAGGACTAACATACACACCAAAACAGTTTCAGCCTGCTCGGCAAGTTTCAACCGTTGAGCTTCCCCAAATCATGCTTTCTTACACGTCTCTTGCCAAAAAACTGCCCGCAATCAATCCCACAAAGGGGTGGTAGTACTCCAGGCCCCCCCCAAGACTTTATTTGAAGGGTTCAAGGGCGCCTGCAAAAAAGTCTCGTTGCCTGGCCCCCCTGAAAAAGTACAACTTGCCTAGTGTAATTTGCCTTTTCGCTAGTTTTTCGCAAGAAAAGGCAGCCCAGGCGATGCTGAAGCTTGCGTCTTTGTTCGATTTGGGCCTCCCCACCTTCCCCAGTCTCTGGTTGAATGCCAGTTGCCACAATCAAACCCAAAGCTTCAGGCCCCCCTTAAGGAGCCCCTAGAATAAAGTCTTGTTGCTTGCCTCCCCCCCCCCCCCAAGAAAAACAGAAGGAAAAAGAAGGAAAAATAAGAAAGAAAGAAACGAAGTCAAAAGATGCTCCAGCAATCCAAATAAAATGGAAACTCGAGTCTACCAATACTAAACCAATGGAAACTCAATTGAACTGGACCTCAAGATGCCTTTTTGGTGCCGCCTTTGACCGGGAACCGGTGTTTTTTTTTACTAGCCCCGGCTCGGGGCTTAACCCCGGCTCGGAGACTGGTTGGTTGGTTGGTTGGTTGGTTGGTTGGTTGGTTGGTTGGTTGGTCAGCTGGGCGGCCGCATCCCCAGCATCCCCAGCATTTCCGGTTTCTTGTCACGGCTGCGTATGGGGCATGACTTGCTGCTCGGGATAGCCGGCCGCATCGCCAGCATTACTGGCCTCACTCGGACGAGAGCTGCCTATTGGCTTTGATTTGGTGGCAGTTCAGGGTTGATCGGGGCTGGTTTGGGGTGAGTGTTGGGCTTGCTGAGGTATTAATGCGGGCGGGTCTTGGGTTTGTGGGGGGCCTCAGCAAAGGGCCGATATGCAGGATGCGGTTTGGAGGGTTTGAGGTTGACTTTGGGTCGGTTTTGGCTTGGTTGGGGCTGATTCGTGCTAGATGTGCGGCTGGTTTAGCCGTGGCTTTCGGGTTGCTTCAGGGATGTGGTTCTGCAAGTTTTGGGCTAGGATTGGTGGTTTGGGGCAACGCCCCACAACCAATCCCAAACCAGCCCAAAACTTGCAGAGCCACATCCCTGAAGCAACCCGAAAGCCACGGCTAAACCAGCCGCACATCTAGCACGAATCAGCCCCAACCAAGCCAAAACCGACCCAAAGTCAACCTGAATATCGGCCCTTTGCTGAGGCCCCCCACAAACCCAAGACCCGCCCGCATTAATACCTCAGCAAGCCCAACACTCACCCCAAACCAGCCCCGATCAACCCTGAACTGCCACCAAATCAAAGCCAATAGGCAGCTCTCGTCCGAGTGAGGCCAGTAATGCTGGCGATGCGGCCGGCTATCCCGAGCAGCAAGTCATGCCCCCTACGCAGCCGTGACAAGAAACCGGAAATGCTGGGGATGCTGGTGATGCGGCCACCAACCCCCAGCTTGTGCCGAGCCGGGGCTAGTAAAAAGCCGGGGCTAGTAAAAAAAAACACCTCAACCCTTTGACCGGAGGGGCCTCTGATCTGTCTACCGCTTTCAGGTTGGGACCTAAAAGGAACACTATTTTTTTGGTTCCCCCAGTAACACATGCCGTATTCCAATTGGGGGGGGAAAAGTAAGGTGAAGGCTCCTACCTGCATGGCCAGACACTCTGTCACTAGGCTTCATCCCGAACCGCTTCTCGCAGCATGGGGCTTCGCCCATTGACCCCAGCTTGCCTGAGCCACAGGAGATCGTCAGAGCGGCGCCTGGGCAAGGCCTTTACACGGTGTGCCGTTTGTTTTTGTTTTTTTTGCCCCCCCCCCCCCAAAAAAAAAAGAAGAAGGGACAAATGAAAAAGAAGAAGCCAAAACAGTGGTGTTCCTTGTGTTTTTCCTTCAAAACCACGAAAAAGGGGTACCCTGAATAAAAGACACCCATACTTGTGACAAAGACAATTTTATGCGCACACAAAAAGCTTAGAATGCCTTGGCCAATTTACTTGCGGAGTGAGCGTGTGAAAAGAATAAATTTAGTTTGGTTCACTAATTGCAGTGCGTTGAGCAGTCCAATCAGCCTGTTCAAAGAGGATCCTTATCTTAAGAAGTCCTTGTGGCAGATGGATTGCATGTGGTTTTTTTTGCGGTTTCCCAGCACGGGTTGCGGATCTAGGGATCTCCTCCTCTCCCTCCTCTCCCTCCTCTCCCTCCTCTCTCTCCTCTCCCTCCTCTCACTCCTCTCACTCCTCTCACTCCTCTCACTCCTCTCCCTCCTCTCACTTGTCCACTTGGGCCAGCGCAACTCCGTTGCAGCGCAAGCTGCGCGCCGAGGTGGATGGCGTGGGCGAGCCGGTTCCAGGCGTCGATTTTTGGGTGAGAGAGGGTGGCGATGTGCACGCACTGGGGGTAACATGTGGGTATGGGTCAAAAAAAGTTACCCTAGAATTGGACCGCTGATTTCAGTCGATGTCTCCATCTAGCAGGGGAACCCCATTTTGGGTACCATGTTCGACCCACTGCCGCGTCAGCGTGGCAGTTAGGATGCAGGACTTTGGCTTGGGTGAGCCTGGGACCTTTTTTGAGGTGTGTACCGCCTAACCTTCGGCGCTTTCTACGAGGAGAGGAGCCGCTGGGGGCACAAGTCTTCCTTCACTTTGCACCTCTGGATTGAGCCCTGGCCATCGCTCACCTTTCCTCGGGCCGAGTCGACGTGTTGATCTGGAGATGGCGGTTTAGCGTCTTTCTTCAGACGCTAAACCGCGTTTAGCGTATGTTGCTTAAAGGGAGGTCAGAGCCACGATTGCTGGGGATCCCTAGTTTTAGACAAAGACAAATTGGGTTTCCATTTCAGCTCCACCCCAAAATGGGCAAGGTCAAAGGGGCCCCGCTTTCTGAAAAAACATGTTTCTTAGTGGCAAGGGCCATTCCAGATGCCGGCTTTGCCCGAACGTTTCAGGGGCTGGGGATAATAGCTGGGCTTATTGGATCTCCTTCGGAAGTGGGTCAATATTCACATAGGGGAACACATTGGGTACAGGAGAATGGACCTGGTTACTGGCCAACTTACCGACTGGCCATTTGAGGGTATGTGTGAAAATAGGGGTGTTCCCCCCCAAAAAGAAACACAAACAAACTAGTGGTTTTCCTTTTAAGTCCAACACAACCCCAAAAAAGGGACATTAGGCTCCAAAAAAACCCAAAAAGGGTAGGCCGTTTCACTTCAACGCAAACCCCAAAAAAGGGAAAGTAGGCTCGAAAAAAAACAAAAAGAGTTTCACTGTCACAAATCCCAAAAAAGGAAATTAGGCTCACCAAAGACGCCCCAAAAGGGCAGTCAAAGCAAACCCCCAAAAATGGAAATTGGGCTGCCCCCCCCAAAAAAAAAGAAGAAGAAAGTAGGCTCACCAAAAATGCACACCCACCTACCCCACCTGCCTTGCCATTCGAGGACAGCCGCCGTGGCCTTTGCCACGCGGACGTGGATTTCCGTGTGGAGGACGCGGCCTGGGCGGCCTGGCTTGGCCACGGGCGCCGAGCGCCGGTCCGGCCGAGCTGCTCGGCCAGAGTGCCCCAGACAATCGCCCGGTTTCTTAGATGTTTTAGAGGTTTTTAGATGTTTATGGTTTTGTTTTGAGGTTTTGAAGGTTTTTAGAGGCTTTTACAGGCATTTAAAAAAGGTTTTTAGAGGTTTTTCTGTATAACCGGTTGAGTGGCTGGGTGTCCGAAGTTCACCCACTGGAAGTTGAACCTTCAGGGGATCTGAGGGCAGCCGGGTCAAAGTTGGGCTCTGGAACTCAGCAATTTGGATCAACCGACTTGTGGGTTGAAAGCGCGTGTTGCCGCAACAGTTTAGCACTTTTTTGCAGGGGGCCTACTTAGCTGGTGCCTCTGAGAGACTTGTGCGTGAAGGGGCGAAAGTTCGGGGCCAAGTTTTTCTGGGCTGGGTCAGAGTTCCCCATCCTTTTACAGGGGGTTGGAAGACTATCATGATCTCAACATGGTCCCGTGTCCGCCATTGTTGGAAAAAAGGTGTAAGCTTTCCCCCTCTTTTTTCCGCCTGAACTTTGGGGCGGGTTGGATCCAGGACCTGTTGCTTTCCATGCTCCTCCCCTGTTTGTTGAGGTTTTCCTCACCGCATGCGACTTGTTGCCCTCGCCCTGCTGTTTCTATACTCCTTAGCAGGCTTTTTTGAGATGGGCACTCGCGAGGTCTTTTGGACGAAGCTGGGTGTTAGTAAACTAACTAGCTGGTGTGAGGAGGCAACCGAGCCGGTTTCAGCCGTTGCCTGGCGACGTGCCCTTGTGGTTTGCTTTCAACGTGCAGGGGCCGACAAGCCTGCCAACCACGCAATTCATTCATGGCCAAGCTAAACTTGAGGGCTGCTGTCCTGTTACACTCCTGAGGGTGTGTCCCCAACTAGACCCAAACCGGTACCCAATGTCTATGCACATGCCGGCAGGGAGAATATAAGAACTTTACGTTTCTTTCGCTTTATTGTCTCTTGTGTTTTCTTGTTTGCTGTCTTCAATGTATCCTGTTGTTTTTGACAAATGATATTTGTTTGTGCTAGCGGACTAGAAACCGCGCTCAACGGCGTGCACTTTTTTCCCTACAACCCTGCATGGCACGCCCGCACCACTGCTTCGCCCTGGCACTGCGCGTCGTGACAACACTGCGCGCACGCCTGACCATGGTAAGCACACCCGCCCGACTGCTTCGTTATAACACTGCGCGCACGCCGGACCATGGTAAACACACCCGCCCGACTGCCTCGTTATAACACTGCGCGCATGCCTGACCATGGTAAACACACCCGCCCGACTGCTTCGTTATAACACTGCGCGCGCCCCTGACAATGGTACACCCGCTCGGCTCGGCTGCTTCGATATAGCACGCCTGACCATGGTAGGCACGCCCGCTAAAACTGCTTCGTTATAGCACGCCTGATCATGGTAAGCACACCCGCTAAAACTGCTTCGTTTCAACACTGCGTGAGCCTGACCATGGTAAGCACACCCTGCGCGCACGCCTGGCCATGGTAAGCACACCCGCTATAATTGCTGCGGTATAGCACGTTTGACCATGGTAAGCGCACCCGCTAAAGCTGCTTCGGAATAGCACGCCTGACCATGGTAAGCACACCCGCAAGAACTGCTTCGTAAAAACACTGCGCGCAGGCCTTCATGCAGCCCGCATCTCCTCTTGTATGTAAAAAGTCTTGGCAGTGGCGCTATGTCTTGCGCGAGCGAGATGTGGAGCAGCAAGCTGTCCTTGTGAGAGCTTCTCGCTAGACTTACCGGAGAGCCTGCAAGGCAAGTGACTGTCTCCGAGTGAGAGCTTCTCGCTAGAATCCCGACGTCAAATGACAGAGAGAAAAAAGCTCGGCACCTCGGTATAATTCAGGAGGTCCCGCCGACGTTGAAGCATCCGCCTCAACTTTCAAAAGTGCAGCCCGCCCCCAAACAGGGAAAAAAGGCACCACTACAGCCAAGGCAAGCGCTGAACGCCGTGCTCGTGCTGGCGACGCATGACGCGCGTGCAGCCCAGCAAAAGGCATCGCAAGACGTACCGGCGTGCCTTATTTGAGGACACCCCTTTGCCAATGTCAACCAAGCAAGCGTGTTTCGGTTCAGCACTGTGGGCTGCGTCTGCTTGGTGTTCGAATTTCGGTGTTTATCAGCGATCGCTTGGCGCAAGCAGCTGGCTCCGGGCCCCCTTGGCCCACGCAAGGTGGGTTTCCCTTGGCGCGGGCGTTGTTCTGATGGGAAACATACGGAAACCTATGGTTGCTTTCCCTCCTGCCATGCCCATCTTGCAAGGCCAAGAGTCAAAGCACGGCGAGCGGCCCTCAGCGCAAAAAATCCGGACCGCCTCGGCGTGTTTTGTTGGAGTTGGCTCCCTTTTTCCTTTTTCGGATTAGTTTTTTAAAGGGAAACTCGACGGAACCCCACCCCCGGCAAAGAGGTGCGCTTCACACGCAACGAAAAAGCGCGCCACCATCGCCTTGCCAGATGACAGGGCCAGCCTTGGAGTATCAACCGCTTGGCGCACGCCAGCCTGTTTGGCTCAGTGCGGTCATGGCACCGGTCCTGTCGCCCCAGGCAGGCGTCGGGGTGCTAACTTTGTTCCCAAGGTGCTTTCGAGATTTGAGCGGGGAGCCACCTTCGTGACAGTCAATCCGACATCCCTCGTCGCGTTGTTCCACACAAAAAAAAATAAAGAACAAAATTGAAAGCAAGGGAGTTGGGTCATTGGTAGCTAGGAGCCCGCCCAAGTCAAGCAATTCCAAAGATTGGGGAGTTCCGTTGTAGGTTTGGTGTGACGTTTTACTTCGGGGGGAAACATGTTTGGTTCGTTAAAATTGAGGGGGAAGGGAAGGGAGTCCCACAACTTTTGAGAGACACCCCGTGTATCATTTGAGCAACTCATTGGCCATTGCCGATTGTATGCCTGGGAATGAGGCATTTGCGTGGTTGGAAGGTAGTCAAAAGCGCTGCTTAATTTGCAAAGCACGTTTTGGCTGAAGTCTTGCAGGGGTTCCCCATTCTTTCCAGGGATCCTTCTTTCTAGAAAGCCACCAAAAACCCTGAGGAAATGGCCGATTCTTGAAAAGAACGATGGCTTAGGCTTGGCAGATGTCGTTGTTGGTGGATGTATGCCACTGCAGGATACGCTGGCTGCCCAGCAAGTCTTCCGGTTCTTGCACCGCGCAGGCGCTCGAACCATGTGGTTGGCTCGAATGCACATGATGCACGCACGCGTAATCGCATGGAGACATCGAAATCGCCACAATGCGTGACCTGCGCTGCGTGGACTTCTGAAAATGGTGAAAGCAAACGGATGGTTCAGTCCTTTTGCCCTGTTAGTTTTGCGTGTGTCTCGTTCAGTCCTCTTGCTTTCGAGCCCTTGCTTGTGCAAGACTTGGCATTCAGGTGGCGAGGCAGATTTGCATTTTGTCACCGGCAAGCACCGAGCCCAGCTCAATCCAATGAAATTAATTAGCTTCCACCAGCCTCCGGCAAGAATCTGAGGCATTTCAGGCCATTCGCCTTTGAACGTTTCAGAGTTGAGCAAAGGTATGGCTGCAAGAAGAATATGCTTCTGGATTTTGCCGGGCGCCTGGAGAACGCGCATGCTTCCTCATGCGCAGCTGGAAGCAGAGAAAGAGGGCCGCAAATGCCTTGCACTGCGATCAGGAAGGAGGCAGCATTTTCGAGTCAGACGGCGGCAAGCTGAAGTTGAAAGGCGGGGAAGTATGCAGTGCAAACACACACACACAGAGATAAGCTCCCTCAAACGGATGCCCCAAGCATTGCAAGGAGCACCGGCATCCCCTCCAGTTTTCTGGAATTTGCCAGCTTGGATTTGCTTGGGTTTGCATTATTTGTGCAAAATCCGCTGCAACCAGACACGAAGCATCCCAGGCGGTGCCTTTGCAGTGGCCGCAGCAGCAGCGGCCGCTGGGGACCCTGGCAGGTCCCATCCACACGTGCTGAATGGGTTTGGTTCCGGTAGACACCAAAGAATGTTGTTCCTTTTGGTCTGCCCCTAGCCTGAAAATCTGAAAAAGAGTACCCTCAAGAAAAAACAAAATACATATAGCCAATGATTCCTGACAAACAAATGCCCACCGCAGCTACGACTTTTACGTCAGAGGTTGGAGTGTTGCATTATTGCGGCCGGGCTTGGACTTTGGCTCGCTGAGAGTTTTTCTGTGTTCATGTTTCATGACTCCCATTAGCTTGGCTTGCTGCTGTCCAATTTGCTAAGTGCTGCGTGCAGGTGAGAAAGTGATAATTGATTATTTATGCATGTGAGTCGCCAATTGCATTCCCCACTGGTCTGCGCATGCCTCACGCGCAAAGCTTGTTGGGTTACAATGTGCCCTCATTGGTGGGATGCGTCGGGCATGCTCACCAATGGCAATGCACCTTGCTCAGCACTGCTTGGGAGCTGTAGGTTGGGAGTAGTTCTGAGCGTTCGCAGAGTTATCATGTTTCACGCTTCTTGTTCAACTGACCCAAGCAAGTTGCCAGAGACGCTGCCTCTACTTAGGCCGGGCGGGTCACGCGAAAAGTCGGCCGCAGGCATGGAGTGCTGAAAGGGAAGAATTAGGCAGCCTCCTTTGAAGTAGCCCTCCAACGCATGGCGGGTGAAGGTGGATCTCACAACTTTAACTTTTTGATTTAGTCATGCCCTTTGCTTATCCACATGATGAAAAAGGGAGTTGTGCATCAACTGTCACCCTGCCGGCAAGACAAGTCCCTGAAAAATCCCGTACGGCGTGTTTCACGCAGGAAATCAGCTCAGCACTTGCTGACAAAGCAGGGCTTTCCGACAAAGGAGGCGCGGCATCCCTTCGTCTCCTTGGGGGGACCGGACATTTGGCAGCGCGTGGAGTTGACGATGTTGCCCAGAAATTTACCTCGCACACTTGGTGCTGGAGTACGTGCGTGTCTTTTTTTGACGGCGCCTTTAAATCGGTTTGTACAAGAAAACTAAAGGACGCAAGTTTTCCCGTTCAAAGGCACCATTTCCCAAAGGAATGGGCGGCTTCCTTTGGGTTCCCCTTTCAACCAACCCTCAAGCAACACAATTTGGCCGTATCCAAAACTCAAGAACCCCCAAAGAACCCCCAAAAACTCCAAAATTTATAAAGAACCCTTAAAAACAGTGGTCTTTGTTGCTTTTTTGGTTTGCCGTTGATCCCACCAAACACCTCCACCCCCCCCCCCGAAGAACGTACACGTACACGTCCAGCGCCGAGGCGCCGGCCGCTCGGCTGCAGCGCCGCATCGAAGGCCTGCTGATGACAGCGGGGGACGGCGTGCTGCAGTCCAAGGCGGGGCCCTGCGGCGCCCTTCGGCCGCCGACGATTGCGGAACGCCCTTCGGGTCCCAGCCATCTTTCTTTCGCTTCTTGGCGAGGTGTCCGAATTGAACCCACGAAAGATGGGAAACCAAAAAAACAAAGGCTGGGAATCTGAGGACAGAACCGGTAAGACTGTGTGTGATTTTCTCTTGTTGGTTTCAATTGGAATCCATCACTACTGTCACTACTGCAAATATGTTTATCCAGGGGTCTTAAGCAAATGGAAGGAAACGGATGTGTCCTTTTTGAGGGCACCCATTTGTATTTCTCTGTCGGTTTGAAAGGGAAACTAGTCACCTCCCAAAGCAAGAATCCCCTTACATGGTTTCCTTTTGCTTCCCCTTTCGTTTCCAGTGTTGGTTCATGTGAGCGTGGCTCTTCCTGAGGATACCCCAAGTCGGGAATGTTCCCATGAGTCGAAGGCCTGCCAGGCCTTGGCTCTGGCTGGCACAGCCATCCAAGTATGCTGGGCCAGGTCATACCCTTGTGTGACATCAGCTGGTCCGGCGAACTCAACAAGCCACACACACACAAGGTATTTATGAGGTTTGGTCCCAATGAACAGCCAGTTGTGTGTGTGTTTCTGTGTGCGTGTTGCCCACGTCGGGAGTTGGGCCAGGCGGTGTTGAGGGCGCTTGCCTTGAAGCGCACACATGCGTCGCTGGGCTCAGATGCATTCTGAAGCCGCAGAACGCCGAAGCTTTTCCTGGTGCTGCCAGCACTTGCAGGCCTCAACGCTCTAAGTTCATCAATCGTAACATGGCCATGGATCAAAAGCCAATACCCCCAGTGATCATCCCAATCCCCACTAAAATGGGTGGTGCACCTACCCCAAAATGGTACCATTGGTTTGGACCCACAGCCACATACGGCGTTGTGTATTGCAGAAAGAGCACCCACACAAATACAATCGTAGATGGGAATGCGCCTGAGCACAAAGAGAAGTACGGATGCTCGCAAATGTTATTCCCGTTGATATGCAGGAACATGCGCGTGTTCGAGCGCCCAAGGCTGAATCGCTGGTTCCCCAGAGTGGGGCTCCGCATCTCGCCCAACGGTGACCTTTGGGCCGAAACCTCAGGGGGGCCTCAGGGCTCCAGCTCGAGCTTTTGGATTGCTATTGGGTTGGATCTTTAGACTTCAGCTTTTTGGGAAATCAAGGGTTTTCCATTGAACCCAAAACAAGTTCAAAACATTTTGGAGAGGGGTCAGCGGCAACCAAGGCTTGGACAGATTGAAGGTCGGCGGCCGGCGGTTGTTCTTTTTGTGCAGTCAGCTGCCTGAAACGCATAGGTCGGCAATGTGTGGACTCAGGTCGATTCTTTCAGGTTGTCGAGAGCTCAGCGGTCACTGCCGCTTTCGTCACTGCCACTTTGACAGCCCAGCCTCCACAGAGTTGTGAGTGATGTATGTATCATGATACCATGGCCTGCACTCGGGTAGGATTGGCAGTCGGCAGTCTTTGAATGTTTCAGTCCGTGCTGCGGTTGGCATCCCCGTATCTTCAAGTATCGGCTGTGCAGTCGTTTGAGCGTTGGTTGAGGGTACCCTGTTCAAGGTTATTTTCCGGGAAGTAGCAACATGAAAGCCACCCTGATTTTTTTTCGACGGGCGGGGGGGGGGGGGGAGGAAGGGTGTGGCCATATAAGACAGCAACTCGCAGTGCCCAAGGGTGCGGACCAGGTTCCAGTTTCGGCTGTACCGCGCGCTAGCTGCATGCTGTGCCGGCAGCCTCGGGCAAATGGGCGAGGCCAAGGGTGTAGGGATTTGTTGAATTTGTGTGGGTTTTCGGATGAGAGGAAGCAAAAGGTAAACCCACCTTTTTTCTGGGGTCCCCCTGTTTCACACCCACATTTTTTTCCGAGCTCACCGCTCCGTGTGTGTGTGTGTGTGTGAGTCTTTGTGTTTGTGTTTGTGTTTGTGTTTGTTTGTGTGTGTGTGTGATTGACTGTGTGTGTGTGTCTGTGTGTGTCTGTGTGTGTGTGTGTGTCTGTGTGTGTGTGTGTCTCTCTGTGTGTGTCTGTCTCTCTCTCTCTCTCTCTCTCTCTCTCTCTCTCTCTCTCTCTCTGTGAGTTTGTGATTATGGGAGTTTGTGAGTTTGTGAGTATGTGTGTCTGTGAGTATGCGAGTTTGTGAGTATGTGTGTATGTGAGTATGTGAGTTTGTGTGTGTGTGTGTGAATGACTTCAAGATGATTCTTGACAATGCGTTTGCTCTGGTTGGTGAATGGGGTTCGTTTGTCCAGATCAAGCTTCTAGCTGCACCCTGCCATTCCGCAGCATGTTTCTTCGTTGGATTTTTGTCGGGCTTAGGCCGGCGTCAACATCAGAGACCGAGTCTGCTGGAGTTTGGTTAAGGATTAGATTTTGCAGGATCTTGCCAAGCTTAGATTTTCCAGCGTGTGCTGGTGGGGAGTTGCCAAGCCTTCGTGGGATGCACGGCAAGATCATTGGCAAATTTACACGCTGGGATTGGCACATGATCGTGCACGAATGCGCGACGACCGAGTTCATCATGGACAGGGGCGGCAAGGCCGTGCAAAGTCTTCGCCGTCGGAAGTATTTGGGGGTCAGTTCTGCTATGGGCTCAGACGCTGCCCTAGTGTCGAATTGAGCCTTCACCTGACTATGGGAAGTAGCATTTCTTTTTTCCGCGCAGCTTGTGACAAAATAGGGGGTGGGGGCGCGTGCAACATTGTGAGTTCGGCCCAAGGGAGAGGGGAAGAAGAAAAAAAACGCGTTGAGGGGAAAAACCTGGTGGCGAGCGGACTTTGATTTCCCACAACCAAAAAAACAGAAAACAGGAAAAACAAAAGAACAAAGAAAAAAAAGAAAAAAACTGAAGAAGCAGAAAACTCGAGCCTCAGGAGGGACACAGGAATGGTTGGTGCTGCGAGCTGAGCGGAGCGCTCCTGGCAGGTTTCCATGGAGGAGCTTATGGAGCACCTCTACAGGCCTTGCCTTCCGTTGGGAGATCACGAGGTCCTTGTTTTTTTTTTTTTTTTGGGGGGGGGGTTGTTTGTTTGTTGTTTGTTTGTTTGTTGTTTGTTTGTTTGTGTTGGTGTTGTTTTTGTTGTCGTTGCTGTTTGTGCTTTCCGGTCTTGCTTTTTGTTGTTGCTGCTTGTTTTTGGTTCTTATTCTTCTTCTTTTTCCGGGGGGTTTGAAGATGCCACGAGTTTCCTTTGGGTATCATCTATGGTTTTTGTTTGTTCAGAAATGTACTATGGGGAGCCATCTCTTGAATCTCTTGTCACCGGCGAAGGTGTCCTGCTTCAGGCTCCTTATCTTAACCATTTGCATGGTTAGTATGTGTTCCTTTTGGTTTACTGAGACCTTGAGTCGAGCCCGGCTAGACCGCAAGTACCTCTTGAGAAGCTACTGCGACCGAAGGGGAGGGCTCATGGCTGCGGGTGGGCGAAGCTGAAGTTTCGCTGAAGCTAGTTACGCTCGACAAAAACAACTACACAAGAAGAGCAAGCAAACAAGCGCAAAGCAAAAGAAAACCAACAAGAAGCCAAACAAACAAACACAAAGCAAAACAAAGCATTCAATTAAGAAAAAATAGCGTTCTCTCTAAACAATGGCTTTTCGGGCTCCATGTTTTGCAGTGCCCGAGGCCCCCAGAGCTGCTGCAAGATGAGGAGTACGAGTTGACGGCCCGGGCCCTGTGGCCCCGAGGTCGATTCAGATCCCTTGCCCGGATCTGACCTTTTAGTTTCTCTTTAGGCAAGCTTTCAAAAGGTTATAACCGTTCACTTCCAGGACCTTTGGGCATCTTTCGGCAACACAGCCATCGTTGCGAAACTGGAATCCCCCGCGGGCTTAGTTTGGCGTGAGAGGGCGACCAGAATCAAAAATGAAGCGCTGAATGTCAGGATTACTCTTAAATTTGCTGGCTATCAGTCTACGGGCCGGCGGGGAAACCGAAGCCCAGGGAGCATTGACAGAAGCCCCGCAGATTCGGCTCATTGCAAAAACAGATCCGGCACAACGAGGAGGATCAAAGGCTGAATGTATGAAGCCATTTCTGGTTTACCCAGACGTCTGATTTTGTGTGCGCGTGTGACTTGTTCATGTGCATAATAAAATATGTTTGCAGAATTCATTGGTATTTGCGGCGATTTAGCTTTCTCTCTTTTTTTAAAAGAGCTGCAACGAAAATCGTTGCGAGAGCTCCATTGGTGCTTGTTGCGACAAGCTCACTCTCGTCTCATCCAGAGCTGCTGCATCCTCACTGGGTGGCTCTTGTATGGCGTTACACCATCCCCTGCATGCCGAGCAAAAAGCGGAAAGCACAAAATATGAGTGAAAGCATCGTGCCAAGTTACGCACTAAACATCCCAATCTTTATGTGTTCCCAACGGGAACTGTGCGCCGGGCCGTCTGGTGAAAACCGATGTGGGCGTTTCTAAAATAGGGCGTCCCCCCCCCCCGGTTTTGACATCCCCCTCAAAAATGGAATTGGGGGAGGGGGGTGATGTCTGAAATTCCATTTGTGGTGCAGAAGACCAGATACATGGAATTGGGGACCCCCCCCCCTTCCCCCATACAGCAGCGGGGAGGTTTCGACCCACGCGGGGCCCACCGCCCAGGAAGAGGGCCGAGCCGCCTCTTACGAGGCAGGCCTCGCACCCAGCCCGGAGGTGGAGGACGGGCGATCCACGGAGCTCGGTTCAGGTTTTTTAGGACAGGGGTTCCCTTGATTTTCCCAGTTTTGGGGACCTCAGTGGCGATCGTGTTAGCGGAAACATGCGGAAACCACGAGTAAATGCAATACGGTGACTGTGCTGCATTGGAAGGACGAATGTGTTTTTTTGCAAATTCAAGGTGAATTTCCTTTGCGGGGGGGGATGTTTCAAGAAGCGCTGGGAGCCCTGTTGCATGGGTTTACATCCAGGTCCTCAAGCATAGCTATTGGCGGCCTCAATTTGCATGTTTGATGGGTGGAGCTCCCTAAATCATTGTTCAGCACTGACGCATGGCAGCATGTTTCTACGCTCCACTTATGAATGTGGCCGAAAGTCATGAAGCGTGAGAGCACTCCCCGACTTTCTGAACGCCACTGCAGATTACATAGATGTCATTTTTGGGGGGGTCTGCTTTTGAGGACCCCTTTTCGGGGTTTCATGCGATCGTAGAAAAGAAAGTAATGGAGCGCTTGGAAGTTCCCTTTGATCTATTCCAAGCCAAGACTGCACGCTCCACGCGTGTGACACCTCGCAACGAGTTGACAGGGGTTTGTCAAGGCATACCCCGCAGTTGCATAGCGCAATCCAAGCAGATTCATTCCTTGTTGATTCGCCAAGCATCCATCTCTCTCACTCTCTTTCTGCCTCTGGTCGCGTTGTGAACCTGACGCGGAAATGAAGCGGCAAATGCTCAAGCAGGAGTCGCAATACCCCCGCTTTGGGAGGATCCAACATTGCAGTATTGCAGTGTTTGTTTTCTTGTGTTGGCAGGTCAGTGATTCCTCACCATTCCTTATCTTGTGCGATGTTGCCCAGATTTCCCCCTTTGCAATCGATTTCAAAGGGAACCTGCCACTCTTGGACATATTTGTTTATGTCTTTTCCTGGGGTCCTGGGGGGGGGGAAGGGGCGAAAACGCAAAGGGCTTTGTCGTGAGACCTGCAAATTGACCCGAGGCAGCGATGGCGTTTTTTTGCTTTGTCGCGAGGACTGGCGGCTGGAAGCCCGAGATAGGCACTGGAAGGCTGGTGCCCCGAACTCCGAAGGGACGGATGTCTGCGGTGGGTTCAGGGTGCTTGAGGGTGGATCTATGTTCGAAAAAGGGAAGCCAGTGTCTGATCCGGGCGCTTGAGTTGGAGCATACATTTTTTTTCTTGTTCCACTTCAGCATGAATTGCTTGTTCGGAAGTGAACGCCCGCCCAGGCATGATTTGTTGTGTGACCAGCGTCGAGCTCACAGCCATCCACGCCCAACTGTCGCAGCTTCCCCTGGGGTCACGAAACAAGCCTGGCCAGGGATCGAAAGAGCAACTCCCAGCCCTGCCACCTCCGCAAGAGACCTTTGCCTGGCGCTGAGCGCCACCAGTCTTGAGAGGAGCATGTGCTCGTTCACGCTCGCCGAGCGCGGATCAGCGGAAGTTCGAATCCCCTGTGCCATCGGAAGCTTGCCCAGGACTTTGGCGAAGATACCGAGTTGATGGAGGAAGCCCTCTACATCGAGGAAGATGTGAACCGTGTGGCGCTTTCAACGGAGGCTCCCATTTAAATTGGCGCGGCATGCGCGTTAAACTGATCGAACACGACTTGGTGTTGGCAAAGCGGCTTCATTTGGCATGAATTCGGTGATTTGGGTGTGGGTCAAAGTTAAGCCACAGAAAAACCGCAGGTTTTTGTCTTTGGTTCCATTTCCCAGGGTTCCATTTTGGGGTTAGCCTATTCTTGACCCACCGCCATGCGGCAGGCTTTCAGGCTTGCGCGCTTGCGGCGGTTGAGCTTCGCCTCGGAAGTTCTCTCGTCGCTTCGTGCCTCCAGGCCGTGAAGTTCGAAGTGGTCTTAGCGGAGAAGCAAGTGGAGCCCCCGCTCTGGCTGGAGGCGCGATGCTCGGCCGCGCGAGGGCCCGAAAGGCGTTTGGGCGAGTGGTCGAAGGGTATGGTATTTGCGACCCTCGGATAATTCCTGAGTGGGAGAGTGTTCCAAGATGGGTATGGGGGACCGCAGATTTTAGTCCGTGTTTCCATTGTCCAAGGTTCCACTTTGGGTACCTATTTTGACCCACAGGCAGATCTCAATAGTGAGCGCATGCCGCAGGAGAGCGTGGGTTTGCACGCACTTTCGCAGCATACGCACGCGTGCCAGGATCGCGCCCGCGCATGCATGTGCCCGTGCACGTGCACATACAATCGCACTAGACAAGCAGACATACTCATGGTTTGCCTTTTTGCTTGTCTGGTTGGTGTCGGAGCGTCTACCTGTGTGTATGCTTACTTGCTTGCTTGCTTGATTGCTTGCTTGCTGGCTTGTTGGCTTGATTGCTTGGTTTGCGTTCCAGCTTGCCTGATTGCTTGATTGTTTGCTTGCTTGCTGGCTTGATGGCTTGATTGCTTGGTTTGCGTGCTTGCTTGGTTTGCGTGCTTGCTTGCTTGCTTGCTTGCTGTCTTGCTGTCTTGCTGTCTTGCTTTCTTGCTTGCTTTCTTGTGTTTGATTGTGTGTGTGTGTGTGAGCTGTTTAAGTGTGTTTGCGGTGTTGCGGTTGTGGTGCTGTGGTGCTGTGATGCTGTCGTGTTGTGGTGTTGGTATGTGTTGGTGTTGTGGGCTGTGGTGGTGCTGTGGTGTTTTTGTGTTTTGTGTTTTGGTCTTTTTTGGTGGTGTGTGTGTGTGTGTTGTAATTGTGTGTGTGTGCGTCGTATGTTGTGTTGTTTTGTGTGTGTTTTGTTCTGCGTCCCTCCAACTCCCACCCCCCCCCCCACTCAATCAAAGCGCCTGAGTAAGGGTAAGTGGTTAGAATGGGACACTCCCTGCCTAGCGCGGATACGCTCCCTTGACTCACCTTAACCTGGGTATCGGCTATTTTCTGACACAGCGCGAAGCCCGCGCAGCACACGCACCCACACATATGATATCAAAAAGATCTATCTTTTTACACACATGCGTGCCACCTACAGCGAACGCAAAATACAACACAGCTCAACATGCGACACACAAACTCAAAAAGGTGCTGCAGGACATCAAGGGCGCTTGGATGTGTGTGGTGTAGGATGTAGGGGTGTGGCTGTGCGCATGCGAATTTGCATAATACGCTGAGAGGAATTGAGATCAACACACTTGGGTGCCATTGTCCCCTATTCGACGACAAGCCCTGAAAAAGCAAGGCCCTGACATCAAGCTGCTTTTGTACAGCGCACCTCAGGCTTGGATACGGGAGTACTTTGTGGTGGCCCGGCGACCCAGCATTCATTGCGCATGGAGCAGCCCCAAAAAAGGTGGTTTTTCCCTGGTCAAGGCAGCTGTGAGGTGAATGCACGCTCATTTTTGTTCATTTTTATTTTTACGAACTTGGAGCTCTGCTGCTTCATGACAGTCAGCCTCACCAGCAGTTTTTTTGCCGGTGCAATGGCGTGGTTGCGGAAAGCCCCACATCTTCTTGCTAAACTGTGCGCTCGTGTTGTGGCATCAAAACATCAAGCGGCGAGCGGGCATGGGCATTGTCCCTTACGTCCCTAAGATGACACGTTTACCGGTCGATTTCGTTGTGTCCTTGCGAAGCAAGCTGTTCTCGAATGCATCCGTCAAGGCATCCTGTTGCCCACATCGGTTCACATCTTGACTTAAAACGTCTTTTTCTTACATGAGATGCACTGGAGCGCAATGCTTTCGACCAGTGACAGTCTCAGTGTGCCAGACCTGTCGTCTTACTTGCCACATCCTGTACAGGCAAGCTTCGGGCTCCTTTGAACATGAGAAGCCAAAAAAACGACATACCGGCACCTACCTTGTGAGAGGTGGCACGTTTCCTAGGAAGACGACGCCGTCTTCCTGCCCTTCTTGGCTCCATGGCGCCCGCCCCCAGTCAAAGACCCAGACGCCCCCTCGAAGACGCCCAACCACTGGCCCATCATCGAGCAGGAGGCTCTGCCGGGAAGCCCAGCGTGGGACGCCCTCCCCCTTACATATACATATGAATAAATGTAAGTATGTATGTATGTATGTATGTATGTCATGTATGTATATGTATGTGTGTGTACTGTACGGCACGGTACGGTATGCAATGTATATGCAATGCATGCGTGTATGTATGCAATGCATGTTTGTGTGACATATAATGTCATGGCATATACTGTATGCACGCATGTATGTAATGAAATGTATGTATGCATAATGAATTGTAATGTAATGAATTGTATTTATGTAGTAAATGAACGTAGTGAGGTATATGCAATGAAATGTATTTATGTAATGTAATCTAGGTGGGTGTGCATGTAATGTAATGTAGTGTAGTGTAATGTAGTGCAGTGCAGTGTAGTGTAGTGTAATGTAGTGCAGTGCAGTGTAGTGTAATGTATGTAGGTATGTATGTAGTCCGTGTAATGTCACGTAGTGCGTTTATTGTAATGTAATGTAACGTTATGTATTTTTCATGCACTGCAACGGAATGTAATGCATGTACGCGTGTGTGTGCGTGTGTGTGTGTGTGCGCGCATTTTTGAGGCTTGGTACCCTTTGCAGCTTGGTTTACGGGGAAGGTCAACAAAAGAACAAAACAAGTCTTAGGGTCCAGCAGCCCTTGACATTTGCACATGTCCATGGTTTTTGTGCCAAGCGAACTGACGGCTTGTGGGGAGATGCATCGCCATGCCACTTGTTAGACAGCCTGGCCATGCCCAGGCTGATGAACGTCCAGGAGGAGTTGCGCCATGCTTTGGGCTGGTAACTGTGGTAACTAGTTGGAAGGTATTTGATTTCCCCTTCAATGCCAGAAAGGCCCAGTTGGTAAACCTCAATTTGTCCTTTCTCGCGTCAGTTTTCAAAACCACATTTTGGGGTCCCAGCAAGCCTCACAAGAACCCAATGCCAGTACCAGCTGAGTGGAGCGGACGGGATGCAGATACGGGGCGCTGGACCGCTTTGGGTTATTTCAACGGAAAAAAATGCGCACCAAGTTCTTAATGGGGCTGGAAACTCAAGAGAATCCCATCAGGAGCGGCGGCTTCTCTTTTCTTTTTGGGCGGAGAGGAGCTACGTTTACGGTATGGGCGTGTACACATGCAATGCCTGGGGCCTCTCTTTCAGGGCGCCGGAGACTCAGACCCTCAGAGCTTGTTGCGGACCCGACTTGGGATTTGAAAGACGGCGAAATCGGACCTCGCTAGGCCTCTACAAGCCCAAAAGAAACTCAGTTGGTCAGAGCCGACCTTTCTTTCAACCTTTTGGTTTGCCCATTTTGGTCCTGCTGCTGGGGGGTTCTGGCAAATTCTGCAAGACGCATCTCCTATGTGGCTGTCCGATGGCAAGAACAAAGCGCCCGTGTCCCATGTGAGGCGCCTGTAAAATGAATCGACCAGTTTTATGCCCATGCGTCTTCCAAATTAAGGTGGCTTTGGATCTGCCAACCAGGGTTCTTCTTGAAACAAAGCGTTCAAAAAGCAATGGTGCTGGCAAAGTGCAGCCTGTGTACGACACCCTGTACTGAGCAGTTGCAATTTTAGACAAGGATCACAAGCACAGACAGTACAGCCATGAGACAAAAGCATAGCAGTTCTCAAGTACTGCCAAAAGACACGGCATTTATCTAGCCCACTGTTGTTTTTGTTTCCCGCAGCCTAGCTGACGGTTTCGTCGCAAGGCCCGTAGATCTTGGCTGAAGCGATTTTTCGACGTGTGGGCGCCCAGAAGAGATTCGAGGGTAGTCTGAGGGAGTGTAGGTTGTTCAAAATCAGATTTGACATAATAGCGTCCCTTGTTGTAGCGTCACTGGGGTCGGACGCGGAAATTCCGGACAATGGAGCGTCCCATTTTGAAGAAGCCAACTAGAACAAACCCGGCAGCCAAGCGCGCGTGTTTCCAACATTTACCCAGAGAAACCCTCGACGCAAAAGCACCTGTGGCGAATCAGTGGTATGGACATATGAGTTTCAACCTGGGCCTCCGGGCAGCTTCTGGCTTGCGCAAGGCAGTGGCACACGTTTTATGGGGAAAACCCCAAGTTGCAAGAGGCGTTGGGGGAAGTCCAACGCCAGCCTTGGCTCAAGGAGATTTGCTTTTGTGCTCCATGGCGCCTTGCAGTTTTAACCTTGCATGCTCTGCAGGAATTTGCGCGGAAGCTTTGGGGCCACAAGGATCTGAAAGAGGACGACAGCTCACTCGACAAGGCGACTGTTCACACTTGAGCGCATGAAACAAGTCTACCCAGCAGGATGTAAGATCAAACAAGCACGCGCAGCTTCAGCATTTCTCTCGTACTCAGCTGAGTGCCAAAGCACTTGAAACACTCCCTTGATTTTCGCGCAAGGTCGATTATCTTTCCAGAAAGGGCTGGGGCAAGAGCCCACGAGAGTGTTTCGCCAAGTTACTATTTTAGTGGTTACCTACTTGGATTGCAGTTATAACCCCCCACATACTAGCCTTCATTAGCTTTCAGATGGTCTTGGTCTTGAAGTCCGCCGTTTTCTTCTTCTTCTCCGAACAAGACCAACGAAGGGCTCTCTCTCTTGGCGCCATGGTCTACGTGGCCCTGCTGAACGGCCGCACCATGCGCGCGGAGGAAACTTCCATCAGCTCGGTGGAGGAGCTGCGAAGGTGCGCCGAGCTGGAGCTTCAGGCGCCGAGAGAGCGATCGGTGCGAGAGATGCAGGGGATGATTTGGATGGAACGAGCCCAAGAAGACGATCCCACTTGCTTCCTTGAAGAGAATCTCTGCATTGCCACATTCACTGAGCACCAGCAAGGGACAATCCCCACCAGAAATGGCTGCCGCCTTCTTAAGTTCTTGACATGGTTCAGACCAGTTTAATAACGGGTTTTGATTGTGACTCGTGAGTGACACGAGACACAGATCCAAGTGGACGCCGTGGGGAAGATCCTCATGCAGTAAAAGGGGAACAAGGCCTAGGGTGTCCATGGGTGCGGGTGGGGCTATTTTTCTTGGGGGAGTTGAAAGGGAAACCAAAAGGAACCCCAGCTGAAGGACTTCCCCTTTTGACAGCCCAAGAGAGACCGGGGTTCGCGTATTCTATGTGTCTATGTGTAGCTATATAGTACTGCACGGAAGGGGGTGCATACCCTGTTTTTTGTTCTCCATTGTTTGGTTGGTTGCTTTTCATGATTGTGAATTCTGAGCCATAGCAATGGCATCCATTGCAGCTCGCAGCCATGGCTCTCGATGGCAGGTGGGATTAGCCGCACTTGTCGATGCATCTGGGAATCTCCTGTCCAGCTCAAGCACTCTTCAGGCCGATGCTGGGAAGGGATGTTGTCCTCTATGTGACATCTAGGATGTCGATCTGGTTTCGTCTCCAGGTTATGTTTCGAAGGCACACGGGTACATTAAACATGAAACATAATGTTGACCCAGGATTAATAAACCCGTCCCAGTATTAGGGGCCTGTTCCCTCCAAAAGTGCTGAATCCCCACTAAAAGGGGACACACCCGATCAAAATTAACCAGGGGTTTAAATTCATCCGGGGTTAACATTACTCCGAAGGTATGCTTTGTGTACCCGAGCTGCGGGTCCTCATGGCGCCCAAAGGGAAACCCTGGCCGGTGTCCAATGATTTTCACTTCCTGACCGCAAACAAGCTGCCCTCCCAACATGGCACGTAAGTGCGATTGAACTTGGAGGCTGGGCGGGCGGTGTGGCCCAGTCGGGCTTGTTGATGTTATGCCTGCCTTGGGCTGAAAAAATATCGTTTACGCATAGACGGTCGTCTTCTTTATGTGGGTCCCCTTTGCAGGGCTGGTTTCAAGCGGGAACTAAAAGAAAACCATCATGTTTGGTGTTCCCTGTTTTGAGTTGAACAAACCCAGATGTAAAATGCAACCAGGTCCTGCTTTGAAGGGCAATCGAAAGGATGTGCCAGATTTATGGCGAGATTCCACCGGACAAGCGAGCCCACCATGATGTAGGATCGTCACGTGGGGATGCCTCATTTCAGTTGTCCGAATCGTTCCCAAGCTTCTAGTTTTAGTGGGTTAAATCCCAATAAAAACCAAGTTTGGGTTCGATGATGATAGTTCACCGAAAATCAGGACAGCCTTATGAAAAGGAGCCTCATTTGTGACGTCGCACGCCTCCTAGACGTCGCTCTGATTTGCCCACCGTTCAAACCTGGGAGACCAGGGCTTGAAACAAGGCAAGTTGCCTTTGAGTTGTCCATAGGAAAATCGCCATGTATCTCTCACCTGTTCACAGGTAGGGTTTCCATCGGCTCAAAAGCCGATTCGCAGCCCAACTCGAAAGGACGCTGGCATCGCCGCAGAGGACACGGTGATGGCTGTGGCCCGCAACGTGCAGGTTCAGTTCAGGGATCTCCAAAGCGGTGTGTTGGTATCACAACTTGTGGCATCAGGCAGGTGAGGCGACTCGTCTATCAGAGGTGCTCAGGTGGTTGCTTCAAATGGAAGGCTTCATAGAATTCGGGACCCCTCAAAATGCTCCTTCCTGCTGAGCACCTCGGCTGCTTTCCGGCTTGCGTTGCTTGATACATGGTCTAAAACATGATTTGCCCAAATGAATGCACCCGCTCCTAATTGACCGGTCTTGTTTTCGCGTCCCAACACTTCTTCAATCCGAACAAAGACCCAGGGTCAAGATTTATCCTTTCAAATCCATTTGGGCGCCCTTGTTTCGAGGGTGCTGATTTATTCGGGGAAACCGAACTGTTAGGGGAGAAATCCACCTAGCCAGAGGAAACTGTCCAAATTGACTACTTGACTAACCGGGGAGCACCCGCAGGACTTAGAAAACCCCACAAAGGAACTGGTCGAGGTGAATCAAGATCGAACCAAAGAACCTACCCGAAGAGGACCACCCAATCACACCTTCAGGAGACGGTCAAAAGGAAACCACTGAATTATGGGGGTTGTGTTTCGTTCCAGGACTCAATGTTTGTTAGGAAACATTCAGTTTAGGTCTTTGTTTTTTTGCCCTGGGGTCTTCTCCAAGCATATGCTGAACTTTGTAGGGTAGACCGCCTGGCTCAGAGTTTGGTCGTATTGTTTGTGTGCCCCTTTGGGCGGCGGGGGGGAGGGGGGGGGCTTGTTGTTCCGCGTTTTTTTTTTGTCGGAACAACAACGCCCCCCCACCCCCCCACCCCCCACCCCTGCTGATCGAAGCGGTCCCCCTTTTTTTGTCCGAGTTTGGACCAAAGGACCCGGGAAGGTTTCTGTATCCCGCAGGTGGCGGCGCATCCTTTGGGCGTGGCCTTCGCACAATTGCGGAGCGATGGCACGGTGGTCACCTGGGGAAACAAGGACGGGACTGGCATAGGTTCGTCAAAATGGTATGTGAGCGTATCCTTGCTTTTTGGGGGACCCCAACAAAATCATGGTTGAGATTTTGGACACATCCATGTTTAAATGGGGGTGTCTTCAAATGTGGGGATCCCAAGCGTGGTGCCCATTCAGCTTCCCTTCACTGCCAAGGGGCCGCAACAGACCCAACAGAAACATATGCCAGGTCTTTCTTTGGTTTCCCTTGAACTGCTTCAGGCCAAGTTGGAAAGGGTACTTGAAAAGCACGCCTCCAATTCGGTTGATGATTCATGGTGGACGTTGCCCCACCTACGTACTGCTTGGATGGTCACTGACACACGTTCTGCCCGAGTTTTGGTTGCCACCCATTGGTGAGGCTGTTCCAATCATTATACACAGTTGTGTGGGCATGACGGATGAGAAGTAGTCAATCAAATGCAGCTCAAAATCAAACCGAACACCTGCGATGAGAACAGGTTCCAAGTTCTAACCAAGTCCAGAAAAACCTCCCATTTGCCGCACCCACTTTGGGGAACCTTCAAAACGGATCAACGGTTGGTGAGTCCCTGGCGTTGGTTGAAATTTGGAGCTCACATGAGCTCGCCCCTTTTGGTTTCCTTGCCCTTGCCATGGGTTTTCGGTGCACTCGTCCAGAGTTTGTCAGGCGCCTGCGGTTTGGATTGGTGGGAACTGGGGCTTTGAACCCTAGTTCTCGTAGAGGGCAGGTAGGAAACCACTCCATAACCACTAAACCCGAACCACCAACTAGTGTCAGCAGTGGAGGAAGATGGCGGAGATAGCCGGCTAGTGCGTCACCAGCTTACAGATGTGAAGCAGGCGGGACTGGCTTTCTTCGGCTGGCCAACAAGGCAAGAGCTGAAGTGACGAAGCCCTTGCTGTTGAATGGTAAGCATGCCTTTTGTTTGTTTGTGTTTTTTTTTTTATTGTTTGATTGTTTGATTGGTTGATTGTTTGATTGATTGATTGTTTGTTTGTTTGATTGGTTGATTGGTTGATTGTTTGATTGATTGATTGGTTGGTTGGTTGATTGATTGATTGATTGTTTGATTGATTGTTTGATTTTTTGATTGTTGGGTTGTTTGATTGATTGATTGTTTGATTGGTTGATTGTTTGATTGTTGGGTTGCTTGATTGATTGTTTGATTGATTGATTGATTGGTTGGTTGGTTGGTTGATTGATTGATTGATTGATTGATTTGATTTGATTGAGTTGATTGAGTTGGTTGGTTCATTGATTGATTGATTCATTGATTGATTGATTTGATTGTTTGTTTTGATTGTGTGTTTGATTGATTGATTGATTGATTGATTGATTGATTGATTGATTGATTGATTGATTGATTGATTGATTGATTGATTGAGTTGAGTTGAGTTGAGTTGATTTGATTTGATTTGAGTTGAGTTGAGTTGATTTGAGTTGATTTGAGTTGATTGAGTTGATTGAGTTGGTTGTTTCATTGATTGATTGATTGATTGATTGATTGATTGATTGATTGTTTGTTTGTTTGTTTGTTTGTTTGGTGGGTTGGTTGGTTGGTTGGTTGATTGATTGATTGATTGATTGATTGATTGATTGTATTCAGTGTTTTTGTCAAGCCAATTCTTCGCAGGTTCGTTGAGGAGGAACCAGCCCAAGACCATTTCATTTGGGCCGCCCGTATCTTGGCCCCCCAGTGGGGCGCCTTCGCATGCGTGGACTCGCCAGGTCTACGCGGCGATGTCGGCCTTCGCGGCACTGAAGCTGGATGGGACCGTGGTGACCTGGGGGGATCCGAACCAGGGAGGCAGTGTCTCGGCTTCTCCCCCGAGCCTGGGACTGCTTCAGGTACTGAAGCGGGCATGATGGTTTTCATTGGGGAGCCTCTGGATGCCTCTGGTGGACATCAGTCAGGTGGGGTTTTATGTCCACCAACTCACTTTCCAGGGAGTTCGGATTTCAATCCATGGCCAATTGGAGCCTTTGTCCAATGGAAGTGGACAGGGAGGGTGTTCAAGTGGAGAATGCCCTGTCAGCTTCCACGTTGGAAGGGTATCCCCCCGAATTGGTGCTTTGTAGGGGGTCAGGTCACCAGAACTATCAGCGCCAGTGGGCAACTGGACCGCTTCACAAGATATCTTATGGAGGTGCTGAGTTGGCGGCTTTCACGGGCTTAGGCGTGCCGGCATTGCAATCAAGCCTGACATACTGTGGATGGACAAAATCCTGCACCACTTCAGAAACCCTGGGGGGACGACTCCCGTGTAGATACCAACATGGTTTCAGAGTGGTGCAGGATTTCGTCCATCAACAGTATGATGATGTCTTGCTACCCAGCCATTTCACCGGCCAACCCAATTGACCTTGCAGGCTCATTGTTTCAATGACTCAGCCTGACCCCGGCAAATCTCAGGCTCGCTTTCTTGAGGTTTCATAGGCTGAATCCGCGAGCATGCTTATTCGTGGGCTTGCCGCTTTGACCCATGAACATGAATCGCGCATATCCGCGAATTGGACGAAACTCTGAGTTCAGGCAGCCAGAGGCGCTTCTTTTGACCTTTTCCACCTTTTGAAAGGTATCCCTCTTACCAGGGTCAGCCATTGCAATGTCAAGAATTCTCCAACTCACCCACTGCGCTCACCCCAAAGCGAGTCGGCCAGATCTGACATTTGTTTTGGTCCTTTTAGCTCCTTTGGGCAACTGGGTCTTTTTCTTTCAGGTACTTTGGCAACTGAGTGTAAGCCGTGCAGCCGCTGGGTGTAGTGCGGGGCCCGTTTTAAAGGATGCATCTGGGCTAGCAGCTCACCCAACAACCAGCAAATGAAGAGATGCGAAAAAAAAAAAAAGAAAAAAAAATCCAGCCTCCCTTGGTCCTTTGATTCTTTCTACGTTGCTTTCCTGTGTGAGCCGCTCAAGGCGTTGGTGCGGAGCCGGGCGGTGTCCAGCAGATCTTCCCGGGCACCAGCGCCTTCGCGGCGCTGCTGGGGGATGGCACCGTGGCCGCCTGGGGCGACGGCCTGCGCGGGGGCGACGCGGCGCCGGTGAGGCCGGCGGGATGCTCGCGGGAGGGCGCCTGAGGGGAGAGGCGGTGAGGGCTTCCGGCTGAAAACGTCGCCCCGGTCGAAAATGGGGCTTGGTACTTTTTGGGCAACGTGATCATGGCATATCATGGCGACGTGCTGGCTTTGGAACAAGGTTCGACCAAACTTGGAACAACAAATGGATACAAGAGGTTGATCTTGCTTGCTAGCTCGTCAAGAATCCGTTCAGGGGTGTTTTGGCAATGAACCATTTGGAATCCCGCTGTAGGCAGCCGCAAAGGGGTGTGCAATGGGGTTGTTCCTTTGTCCCCTACTGAGAACCAGCAAGGGCGAAGGCAGGAAGGTTGGGGGGGGGGTCCTTCGCTGCCATGCGGAATCATCCAGCAATGCACGAACATAATCTATTGGAAAGGCACATGTTGATGATTGCCAAAGAGCAAAAGCATGGGCTTGAAACTTTTCGTTTTTCGCGTTTTTGTTCGCCATTTGATCAGTTGGGTTGTTGCCTTTGTGTTTTTTTGCAGAGAGGCAAAACCCGGCACTGTACACAAGCAACCTGGCTCTCTTTAAAGCGGAAACTGTAAATTGTTCAATCAGTAGTGATTTAAGCATGGCCCAACCGAATGTTGGCCCCACCCTGCCCGGTGACTGATTCAAGCCCCGCGAGTCTCACGGGAGCTATGGCCCCACGCCCGTGTAGCACGAGTCACAAGTGGCGGTTGTTCCGGCTGAGCGGCTCCTCTTCCCGTCGCCTGAATCTGCATTTGTTTGGGTGTGTGTGTGTGTTTGTTGACGATACCTCCTTCATCTTGGTTCAAAGGGGCAATTTTGTCGAACAGTGTCTTCGTTGTCAAGGGCTATCTCTTGACTGGCTCGAGTCACCGCGGTGCTTTGGTCAGGGCTTTGTTGAGGCACTCCATTGACATATCACCTTCCTATCGACACACACCCATCTTGCATAAGGTCTTGACACATTCCCATCTTTCGAACATTATTTGTTGTTGTTGATTTCCCTGACCACCCCAAGAATGGCACACTCACAAACAATCCAACAAGCAAACCCACACACACACACCGGAAAAGCCAAGGCCCGCGTAGGCAGAGGTTCCATGTCCCATAGCTTGGATGTTTCGCCTACTTGGGTTCCATGGTTTCAGCGGGGGCGGAGGTTCGTCCCTTTTATAACTTCTCTGCGTTCTTTGCAGGCATCCTCGTCTTCCAAACATTGGCCAAGGGTGGCTTCTAAACGGACGAGTGAAAGTGGGGAATCAATCCCTACAGGAGGGAAACCGCGCAATAGGCCGGTGGCGCTCCCTGAAATTTGAATCAACCTTACTGTCCTATGGTGGGTTGCTGATGCTGGCAAGCAAACACTCAATATGGGGAGACAAAGAGGAGCTCGTGTCTGTAGGAGAAGTGATGGTGGAGCTGGAGAAGGAAAATGCTGTAGACACGTGGCAGGACGCTGTGAAGATCTTGGTGGCAAGTGAGAAAGCAGGATTTTTTTCCTATGGCAAAGAAGGCCTGGTGCAGCCTGCAGACTGGAAGGCAGAAGAGCCAGAGGTTGCAGTGAACTTGCAGCCTGGAGTGCACAGCCTTCCCAGAGTGTGCTTGAAGGAGCTGCAGCCTTGGAAGAAAGCAGCAAAGATCAAGCCCTTTACTGCCTTGAGCAGGGCAGCCATGCAGCGCATGATGAACCGGTGCGGCTTGCAGAGCTTAGAAGACGAAGAAGGGGACAAAGTGCAGCTCCATGATGGAAGTGGTGATTGGCTACTGGACCAGCACATTGACTTGGGCTGGGAGCTGATGAAATGGGGCTTGGCCCTGGAGACGGATGCAGTGCAGATGGTTGCTCCCAACTTGCTGCAGTCCTTTATGGAGATTGCTGGCGCTTGGAGCTCAGAGGCAAGTGCAGCAGACACCGAGAAGGCTGCCATGCAGCAGAGCAACAGAAGGAAGCACTTGCAAAAGCTGATGCAAGCAGAGTTGTGCTTCCTTCCAATCTACTGCAGCAGCCCAATGGTGGCCTACAAGTGTAAGCAAACCATTGCCATTTAAATATCCCGTGGAAACCCATGCTGGCTTTCCTGCAGTTGTCCTTTCAACCGAAGGTGGGGTTTCTCAAAGCTTGGACCTCATTTCGAAATGGGAGGCAGTCTCCTTTTTCGCTTCCATTTCCCGACCAAAAGCCATTATTTGTTGGGACAGGCCCATGCGGTGCCTATTTCCAGAACCTCCCCAAAAACACGAATTCCACATTTCCATGTATTTTTGCTTGGATGGATTCGCATGAATCAAAGGACGGCATCACCCCACATGCCTAGCTTTGTGTAAAGCCGGGCCTTTACTTGATGCCGTTTGATGTGTTCACAGTGAATGCAGGTGAGCGAGTGAGTGGGTGGGTGAGTGAGTGAGTGTGTGAGTGTGAGTGACTTCCGCCAAAGCAAACCGGCGCCAGTCTGAACCAGTCTAAAGTGCTGCGCCTGTTGCGCAAACACAATCAGCACGCAATCGAGCATCAGCATGCGTAAGTTGCCTGAGTGACAGTGAGTTTGCAAAAGTTAGCGAGTGCAAGTTGAGTGAGTGAAGGAAAGTATGCAAAAGTTAGTGAGTGCAAGTTGAGTGAGTGAAGGAAAGTATGCACAAGTTAGTGAGTGCAAGTGAAGGTAGGGAGGGTAAGTATGTGTAAATGGAGTGGGTCAGCGTGAGAGTGGCTCAACAAATCGGGTTTCGGTTTTGCTTGCGGTTTGCCTTCAAACCACGTCAAACAAGACGGGTAGTAAGTGAGTGGCCCAACAGAAGGGGTTTCGTTTTTGCTTTTCTATCTGAGTTGTTTTTTGTTGTATTACACCCTGGGATTACACCCTTGGGAAATTGCCCAGAATGGTCCAAAATAACACGGTTTATTTGGAAATGTGCCTAAATGGAGTCAATACCCAGTGGGTGTATTTTCAGGTGTGACACAAAAACCCTTGGATTCTAGGTCCCCCCGTAGTGCCCTTTTACCCTTTTTGGGGGGAGGGTTCCCCTACTAGCCCCGAAGCAGGCTCAAAATAAAGTAGGGGTGGGTCGGACCCTAAAATAAGTCATCTATTTTATTTTAGTCCACCCCTTTTTTTTGCGAAATCATTTTGGCCTCTGTGACAAACTCTTCAACGTTGGACTGAACTTATTTCAAATTAACATGAGGTAATCTGTGACTTCCCCAGGAAATGCCGTTTTTTCAAGTCCATTCAAGGCCTGGGAAATGTTGGACTGCGGCAATTACATGAGTACCTTCCGAGTTGACCCCCCGACTTTATTTTGTGAATAAAGCGGATGCGCAAAATAAACATGAGTTGGACTCCCCTCGACTTTTTTCATAGGAAATAAAATAGGATACGTTTGTCCAACTCGGACTGTTCAAACCAACCCCCAACATGAGGTCAAAATAAATCGTGCTTTTTCATTATATTTGCTGTCAGTGTTGGACTAGTTCATTTTATTTTCCAACAAGGTTGGACTGACCCTATTTTATCTGATAAAATGGGGGGGGGTCCAACCCTGTTTGGATCCTCTAACGGGGATCCCTACTCAAATAGACTACAGAAAAAGTTGGTACCCTTATTCTAACCTCTCTACTGGAGGACCTAGTTTTGGTTTCCCTTCAACCAACCACAAAAAAAGAGGAAACAACAAAAGGAAAAACACGCGAGACGGGCCTCGCCTCGAAACCGAAAGCGAAGCAAAGCGACGCGAGGGCGGAGCTGTGGGACGTGGTCTGCGTGGCGGCGACCAGCGGTGCCTTCGCCGCGCTGCGGGGCGACGGCGCGGTGGTCACCTGGGGCGACGCCCAGCGCGGCGGGGACAGCCGCCAGGTGGGGACCGACTCCGAGGGCGGGGACGGTGTTTCCTGGAAGCCACCGCGGGTTGCACCCTGGGATTTTTTTTTTTTTTTTTTTAAATAGGTGGGGGGGGGGGGAGAGGAAAAGGAGGAAGGGTTTATATGTCGGGGGGGGAGCGTGGAGTCTTTATTCCGTTCTTGTGTGAAATTTGTGGTGATTCTGTTCAGGTGTATTGAAATGGAAGGACAGACGCAAGGGATACCGTCGAAACACGCCCCATTTGGTTTCTGAGCTCCTCAACAGGCACAATCCTTCAATTTGGTTTTGCCCCCCAAAAAGCCAAAAGGTCAACCACCAAAGGTGAGGTACACAACTTGGTGTCCCATCCACAGGTAAGGCAGCAGCTCTGTGGTGTGCGGTCCGTGTGCGCAGCGGAGTCGGCCTTTGCTGCGCTGAAGGAGGACTTTCCTGATGGAATTGAGGGAGGATTGGCCCATGTGTGGATCCTGCCCTGGAAGGCTAGATCAACTGAAGTGGGGGATCGTCTAGATCAAAATAATAGGGATAGTTGCACACAATCCACACCATTAGGGTTGCATTTTGGGGTGAGGGAATTTCAGGGTGGAATTTCAGTGGTGAATTTCAGAGTAACTTTTACAGTCACATTTTAGGGATGAATTTTGGAGGGGGGATCTCCATGGGTAAATTGAGCCTGTTGAACCTATGAATTTCAGGTGTGAATTTTATAGAGGAGTGAGTGTCAGGGGCAATCCGTCTGTCATTTCAGGTGTCAGTGTGATGTCAAGTGTGACTTGCAGGAGCGAGTTGCTGGATGAATTTCAAGGCTGAGTTTGAGGAGAGTGCGTGAGTTGTAGGAGTGAATGTTAGGGGTGATGTTCTTTGCCAAAAAAGAAAACAAAAAAACAGGGGTGATGTATTTGACTATTTGACTATTGCAGCTGTTAATTTCGGGATGTTGAGGTGTGAGTTTTAGGCGGATGGGGGGTGAATGTTGGGGTGGATTTGTGAAGCGTTTGTTGTTTTTAGACATTTCTCTGAGGGGGAATTTCAGGGATTGTTTTTGGATGTTTTTGGTGTGAGTTTAGGCAGTTTGAACTTCAGGCATGAATTTTGGAGGTGAATGCTATGGGGAGCGTTCAAGTTGTTTTGGGGCGAATTTCTAGGATGATTTGTTGGTGCAAATTTTAGCTGTGATTTTCTGGTGTTATGTTTGCTGAGTGGATTTCGTTTTCAGTTGTGAATCTTCAGGGTGAATGTCAGGGATGAATTTAGGGGAGAAGGTCGGGCATTCGACCAGTGGAAGGAAACCCGAAGCAAGTAGGATCGGAGTCAAAGTTTCTTCATAGCATTGGGAGATTCCATCGATCGGGGTATATATATATATACAGGAGGTCAGTCCTGCCACTACCGTCCTACACTCCTCCAGGTTGACATGAAAGCAAACACCCATTGGAGAAGTCTCCTTTTTCAGGAACCTTTTTTCGTCCATGTTGGGCATGAGTGATGAGGTCAAATTTCTTCACAATTTGAGGGTGTCGTTTTTCATTTTTAGCAAAAAAGCACGTGTACTTGTTGTTAATTGGATTGCCCTCCCCACAGCTACCAGCAACCAGGGGCCGATTTCGATGTATGTGATGCAGGACGGGACGGTCGTATCCTGGGGTCATGGCGCTCATGGCGGCGATAGCATTGCAGTTCAAGGCCAGCTGCGGGATGTGCGAAGCGTCCATGCGAGCTCGGCAGCCTTTGCGGCGCTGAGAAGCGATGGATCTGTGGCTTGGTGGCTCCCAGCCATTCCATTGGCTTCTTAGCCTTTTAGCGCTTAGTGGAGCAGAACATGGTTTAAACACCACCTTCACAAGAAATCATCATGACCAATGGTTTAAACATGTTTAAACCAATGGGTAGCCCCACCCTATATTTGAGTGTTTAGTGGTAGTGCCCATTTGACCCACGAAAAGTTGAGAACTGTTCGCGGATCTGGGCTGGCAGCCCCGAGGTGGTGACCTGGGGGCAGCCAAGCCTTGACCGCTCTGGGAACTTGCGGCAAGTGCGCGAGATCTTTTCTTCAGGCGGTGCTGCCATTGGCGGCGATACCTTTGCTGCACTCCGGGAGGATGGGAGTGTTGTGACCTGGGGCGATCCTTCGGATGGCGGTGACAGCACTGCGGTGAGGGACCAATTGATGGACGTGCGGACCATTTGTATGGCAGTTTCCGCTTGTGCCGCCATATGCGGCGATGGGAGAGTTGTCACCTGGGGGGATGCCAACCATGGCGGAGACAGTGATGCTGTGCGCGAGCAGTTGACAGAGGTGAGACAGGCAGATGGGCCTCAAATGGGGGATCTCCGTTTGATGATTATCAAATCAAAACCAACTCTGCGCGGTCTTTTTCTCAGCCTGTTGACTGCTGGCAAATGATCAGCCACAACAGCAGCAGCAACAACAAAAGAAAAGACCACGACTGACGGACCTTTGCATTTTTGCTGGTTCCCAGTAGGGGATGACCCTTCGAACCATCCCTTGTAGTTGCTTTTCTCGAAGGGTTCGTTTCTGGGGCTCGAACCAGATGGTTGAGCTCGAGGTCGTTCCCTGAGAACCATTCCCCACCATCCCTGGTGTTTGTTGATTTCGAGATCATCTCGAAGACCCCCCCAAACATTCCGAAAACTGAAGCCCTACCCCAAAACAGAGAGCCAAGATGTGTGGCATCGTCCCTTGTAGTTTTGGTTTTGAGGACAGCATTAGAAGGAAGCCGCACATGTTGCAGGTGTCTGCCATTTGGAGACAGACCCAGATCCCATACCCAGATGTGGATCGATCCAGGTCTACGCCACCACTGCCGCCTTCGCGGCCTTGCGACAGGATGGCTCCGTGGTGACGTGGGGCGATCCTTTCCGCGGCGGCGACAGCAGCGCGGTTCAGGCGGGTCAAAGGTCAGCTGTTTGTCCCCTGTTCTGTCCCGTGTCCTTGTCCTGCCCTTTGTCCTGTCTCCGTCCTGTCCTCCGTCCTGGCTCCTGTCCTGTCCCTGTGTCCTCCTGCCTGCTCCTGGGAACAGGAGAGGCTGGGCCACAGGACAGGACACAGGACTGGACACAGGACAGGGGACAGGACAGCTTGTACAGAACAGGACAGGACATTCCAGGTGATACATTGCACACATTGACATCTTCAACGAGTTGAAGGGGAGTTCCTTGTTTTGGTTGGGGAATCTGTTCACCGCCTCAATTGTTCAAATGCACTCGTCCTGCGCGACAAAGGTGGCTTCGAAATCTGCGGTGGTGCCTGATGGTGCCTGAATAGGGGTTTCGGATTCAGGGACCCCGGCCCCGTTTTGAACCACCCAGGATCAACTGCAACATGTCCAGCAGATCTACGCGGCGGGCTACGCATTTGCCGCCGTTCGCCTGGATGGGACGGTAGTGACTTGGGGGGCCCCCTCCTATGGAGGGGACTTCAGCTTGGAACAGTCCCTTGACAGGAGGGACTTTGATTGCGTGCAGAGCTGAGAGCCGGAAAACCACCATCTTCGGCCTCAAAATGTGAGTACCCGTCTGACATCCTTTATGGCATCCTTTATCTCACTTGCCCAAAGCGAATCGACCTTTTGACCTTTTGGTGTTGCATTTGTGGTCCATGTTAAGTCTTGGCCCCAAAAGGTGATCACCTTTTGTTTCTGGGTCCTTTGGGCAACTGAGTTATAGCTATGTTTGGCTATGCTTGTGGCTCTACACCAAGCTGCTGGTTTGTGGGGGCTCTGCTCAACGAAAAGCCTACGGCTTGAAGCCGAAGAGATTTGAAGTCAGGGGCAAAGCTTCCCTTGCACCCGTGCTTCCGGACCAGGGCCGGAGGAATGATCGCTTGAAGCAAAAGAAGTCGTCAGTGTTGGCAAGGTGAGGTCAAACCAAAAATGCTTGTACACAGTACAGCGTTCAGCAAAGCTTGTGTAGAAAATTGGCCGCCCAACTTAGAGGTGGTGATATGTGCAATTGCGGAGTGGGACACCAAATGGATCGGTTTCCCTTGGTTTCCCTTGCAAACCAAGCAAAACAAAATGGGGGACCATCAAGAGCACAATTGGAACACAGCCTCTTCCCTCAGATCTCCTCCTATGGCGACATTGTCGAGAAGACGGTGGCGCGTCAGACCCGGGAGGTGTGGGCATGAGCTCGGAGATACTCTAAGTCAGCCGGTAAACGTGGCTTTTTGGCTGGCCCAAACGTGTCCTTCGAATGTCTTTGACGGTCCCTGTTTCTTGTGCCTGCGGTTCTTCAAAACCAGAATCAAGTTGTTCCCCTCCAAAAAAACGACCCAGGGGTCGGAGGTGACTTTGATGCGTAGTAGTAAATGAATGCGGCCAGTGCATGTTTGGGGTCCTCTTATCCTTTGATGGCATGCCCAGGCAATGCAAGCGCTGACCCTAATTTCGACCCGCCTCTCAAGGCACAAGCCTTCTATGGTCTAGAGCCCTTCTCAGACCTTCTAAGCGGGCTCGAAGAACCCTTCCAAGGGTTTTCTCTCCTAAGCGACGTGAAGGCAACTCAGGGCCGAGCCTTGCGGAGCCTCCTGCTGCTGCTTTGTCAGGCCATTGCCGTGGCGGCTCGCATTCACCACGAAGGTTTCGGTTCGGCGATTCGAGCTTTTGTCGATTCAAAGCGCAGGGTTTTGTTGGGACAGGCCTTCATGTTTTGCAGGTAGGCCTGTTATTGTTCAGAGACAGTTTTTGGAGTTTTGCTTGCACCGCACATGTGTCTAGAATGTGTCTAGGAACAGACGACGACAGAAGCAGAGTGTATTCAGTGACAAGCCAGGTGTTGATCGATTACAGTGGGCTGGCCCAGTAGCCTCAATTCAGGAGTTCCTGAACATGAAGCTTTTTGGGAACTCAATTGAAGTTTGGTTGCCGTTTGGTTGGCCAACCCGCTCAAGAAGTGGGTACTGCTTGAAGAAATCTTGTTCTCGGTGTTGCGGAGAGGCTACACGTCCTCTGAAGCCTTCCACGACTTCGGAGTTGGAAGGGAATGGCTCAGGCGTGGCTGTGACGCAGGTGTCGTAAACGAACCCAAGGATCGTGTTTCATGGGGCCTGGAGGCAAGCCATGAAACACCTAGTCGTTGCTTCCTGGGCGGACGGCTGGCTGGGCGCAGGTGAGGCCGAGGCAGCTTGCCTCGCTCGCACCCCAGTTTCTGCAGGCGCTACTTCATCTTGGAGGAGCCGGAGGAAGGGACCCAACATAGCTGGAAGTTGCGTTGGAGCCTGAAGCTGTCACTGCCAGACTGCGGCATGATGCAAGAGGCGGACACTCAGTGCAAGTTGGCCCCAGCATTCCAGCCACCAGGGCGGCTCACTGCCGCCGTTCACTTATTCATTCATCCATTCATCAATTCTATTCTTTCATTCATTCATTAATCTGTTCATCCATGTTCCTCCATTCATCTATTCTTCCTCTATCCGTGCACCGATTCTTCGATTCTTCGTCCACTCCTGCATGTCCAACGTCCATCACTGCCCCTGCCCGCCTGCAAGCCCTGGAGGGAGCCCACTGGGAGCTCGTTTGGCCGTGGGTCAAACCGATGGGATCCCATTTTGGTTGGTCGGTGAATTCACCACCCATTTTCGGCTTCCAATTTTAGTGGTTGGGTTGAATCGGTCCCCTTCACTGGGGGCTAACCGATTTGGATTTTGGCCCATGGCCGTTTCTTTGTTGAGGCTTGGACCCTGAGCGGTACTTCTCCTGGGTGCCACCTCCAAAGGACGGCAGTGTGGCTTGAGCTGGGCACGGGACGACGGGAGTCCGGGAGTCCGGGCCTGTGACGGGTTCAGCGCGCAAGCGGAGGGAAGATCCCAGCCCCCTTAAAAATGGAATTGGGGCGGAAATAACCCCTGGAAATCCATTTCTGGTTTCATTTTCCCTTTTCTTGGGAAGACTAGATACATGGAATTGGGGGCCCCCCACCCCCTTCCCCCCCACAGCAGAAAGGATGAGGGAAGATGCCGGAGATGGCACTTGCCAGGATGCGGAGGCGCCAAACCCGCGCATCTACTCAAAGCCGGGCGGCCTGTTCTTTGACGAGTTGTTTGGAGAGGTTGGTGGTGCGGGGCAGGGCTGGTGCTTGAGTTGCGGCGCTGGTCTTGGTAACTGTCCGGAGCTCTAGGTGGATTGGGCTAGGCGCGACTTACAGTTGCACAGTTGCACGAACATGGCAGTTGTGCCCCCATGTAGGTTTCATCATCCCCTTGCCCTGTGAAATGCAAGGCCCTCCCACCGCTCAACGCGGAACCTGACAGGGGGGTCCTGGTTTGGACCATTTTCCGTTAAAGGGGGTCAGGTGCCATGTTCATTGGTGGGAGTACATTTCGAACAAACGAGCAGCAGCAAGACATGTGCGACATGGCATTTCCTAGTTTTGTTCTCGTCCCTCGCCCCAAGCCCCCAGCTGCGCAGGTTGGAAGCACCAAGGCGGGTGCATCGCCGACAGTCGCCAAGTCCTGGTTCGAATCATTGGTTGGTGGCTAGAAAGGTTCTCGCCCAACCGGCTTCCCCCCATTCTCACTCCCTGGGTTCCCGGACTTGAAACTGCGTGGGCTTGGGTTTTTTTTGGCTGTAAGTATCTGAATTAGTGTGCCTCTGTTGGGCCATCCACTCAGGAAGTGAGCATTTTGACACAATCCCACATGCAGCATTGCCTTTGTTTTGGGATTGTGGCAAGCTGCAAGCGTGGCAGGGGGTACCAGCGGAAAGGCTGGAAGTATTACAAGAGGACCAGCGTGCCGGGGGGTGTGGGCAGGTTTTTGTGAAGACTTGGGATGAAAGTACTTTAGCGTTCCAAGTTTGGCTTTGCCATCCAATGGGGGCTCCATGATTTTGAGACCAACCCAGAATACCCCACCCAAAAAGGGGCAACCCAGGGGCCCAACGACTCACTTGGCAAGACACCAAAGAAACTCCTTCCAAACGAGTAGCCAAAGGACTTCACAATCCAATCTTCCAGAACAGCAGGATTTGTCCAGGGAATGCGAACTGTGCCGGTTGGAAGCCGTGATTTGGCTGATAGACATCAAATCCCAGTGTTTCGGCGGAGATTCTCAATGAAGCTACATGGGGCGGTGGCAGGGACCCGGACAGACTTATCAGCGAGTCCCATCAGGAAGTACGCGCACAGCGCTGGCGGCATCATGTACTGATGCAAATGAGGAGAAAGCTGCGAGGGATTCTGAGCCAAGGGGTCAGGAGCTGAAGAGCCCCAATTACCACCAGTTGATACACTTGCATTGATCCGGGGGCTTGAAGGAAACTGGTTGCTTGAAATCGAGATTCGGCTTGCTGTGGCTGTGGTTTGCACCACAGGTGCGGTGTCAAGATTGCGCAGCAGCTGCCAAGCACAAGGTACGGCAAGAGCAAAGGGAGGGCCAAATAGCTACAAGCTCAATAGAAGAGCCCAGCCTCCCCGCAACTTAGCTTTGCCCATGTCAGGTTAATTACTGAGTTACTGGTTGCCAGCAATCGACTTTTGGAAGAAGTTAGCGTTGATCTCCCGGGTGGGTTTGTTTGAGCCTTTTTTTTCATGGGGGTGGTTTCCTTGTTAGGCCCACAACATGGCTTCGGTTTTCCTCTTGGTTTGCCTTTAAAACCAAAACATAGCATCAGTTTCTTGAGATCGAAGCCCAAACTGGTTTTAGCCCACTGCAAGAACCATCTCCCCCCCCCCCCACTTCTCCACTCCGGCGCCATGACGGGCCCCAGCGCGGCAGTGCTCAGGAAGGCGGTTCCGTGGACCCGGGGAGTTGGGCCCAGGGACGTTCGCTCGTCTCATACTCGTCATCCTGGGGAGGGAGGGGGGGAGGGCAGCTGGGGTCTTGCTGGCCACTTGGCCATCTTCACAAGCAGACCCCGGGGGAACGAGGCTTAGGCCAAACTGGCGCAGCATGCCTTTGCCAAGGCATGCCAAGGGCTAGGAACCCGCTGTAGCGAAATATCGAGCCTGTTGGTTTGGGCTCGTAGTGTAATAGCACGCTCACCCTGGTGTAACACATCCTGTTCTCCTGTTGGGGGCCTAGGCCCTGGTTGTTTACATCACTTACTGAACGCTGCAGATGAGTGAGCTATAGCTACCTTTGGTCTGGATGCTAGGAAGGCCTCGTTTGATTGAAGACCCCTCGCAGGGTCAGGTTATGGGAGGTTGCCATAATTCCAAGCAGGGATTCTATGCTTTTGGCACTGACCCCCCCCATTCATTAGTGTTCGCAACTTGGTGATTCAAGTTGGGTCTGTCGCTTGGTTACTCCTCCATTGGTTCCTGGGGCCAGGTTGCAGAAGACGCAGACGTGGACACGTTGAAGGTTTTGCTGGAAGCCTCTAGCAATCCTGCAGAGCTGCTGGGCCAAGCAGCAGCTTGGCCGCATTGATTGGCGCTGCACCCCTTGTTTCCAAGGCAGCTGGACGTTCGGGGCCTTTTCAAGTGAGTGCTGGGCCTTCAAAGCCTTCCACGATTGGAAAGAGGCACACTTCTTCCAGAGCCAACGAATGCGGTCATTTGTTGGTACAACAAAGGGACGCGAAACTCACTCACCAAAGAATCTATCAACTCGCTGGGATAATCGGTGTACGGACTGCCAAGATCACACAGAACGGGGCTTTCGATCATGGCGGACATGGGCTCCCTCGGTGCGGGCGCACCGGGCAGTTGTTGCAGCAGTTCTGTCAGTGGGCTTTGTTGCTCATGCATCTCGTTTCGGCTTGCACCTGTTTTCTTGTAAACTAGATTCCCGACATGTTTGCTGGCCACTGCGCTGGTTCACGGAGGGCGTGGCGCTTGGATTGCTCATTGACCGTTCGACTGTTCTGCAAACCTACAGTGTTTTCATTCTCTCTTTCGTTGGGTGGCCTTCTGTGCAGCTCGCCAGTATTTTAGAGATGTTGGCTTTGAAGATTTTGAAGTTCCTTATGGCATTTGGGTTTTCTTGTTTATCGGGCACGTACTTGTGGAGCCTTCGTGGAGCCTTCGTGGAGCCTGTGCTGCCTGTGCTGCGTATGATGCCCGTGGTGCCCGTGCTGCCTGTGCTGCCCGTGTTGCCCGTGGTGCCCGTGAAGCCCGTGGTCCTTAAGCGTACCGATCTCCCATGGCCCTAGTGCCACTGATTAACATTAACGCATCGTTGATTCAACATGGGTCTTAGCTTAGATTCGATGCCCATGGCACTGTCAGGCCACATGACATTGTTTTCATCAGCTCTTGTCGACGTATTTGCCATGTCCAAAAATCCCGTTGCTCCGGGTTTGACGTAGCCTCGATGACCATAAAACGAGTTTTAATCATGGCGCATATCGCAGTGGTGTGCAGGATGGCTTATCCCGAGGCAATCATGCATCAGGCAAGTTGTGCATATGGTCAACCCAATGCCTTGACGTGTTAACCAAAGCATGCTCGCTGGATTCCATGCGCGTTTGCTTATCTTCATCCCGGTGTACTCCTGCCCATCCTTGCCCAAGCTTCTTCCCTTGCCACCTTTCGTGGGCCAACAGACGGATTTCAACAAGAGCCGGTTTTCCCGCCCACCTTTGAGCCGGAGCCAATGGCAAAGCCAAACCATCGGTGTCCTGTTGTTTTGGTAGAAAAATGGGATGGCCCTGGTATACCTGGTGGTTTAATCATCTAGCAGGGCCATCTAAAAACGCCCCAAAAGGAGATGTATGAACCAAACGAGTCCAGGACGGCCAAGGGCAAAGCCCCCTTCACTTGGCTGTACGTGCACGGCCTGGCGATGAGGCCCTCGCCACGGCAGCTCGGATCCATCGAAACCTCAGGGCGGCCTCTGGGGGTAGCGGGGCGGGGCGGGTCTTTGGGGTCCATGTGGGCGGGGTGCTTTTGGAGTCCTGGAAATTTGAAATTCACATGGACCCTCAAATTGTCAAAGGGGGAGGCCACAAACAAAATCCCTGCAAAAGAAATGATGTCTGATGTGACTGGCTTATGCTGTGACTGGCTTATGCGGCGAGAGTCAGTTGAAGCTAAAGCGCACGGGCTGATAGACACTTGCGCTGATTTCAGGCTCCAGAACTGGAAAACGCGGCCTTGGAATCCTGGCACGGTTCTGGGACGGCGTGGGTGTCTAAGAAGCAAGCTCCAGATGTTTGCGGGAATCCAAAAAAAACCAAACACTCCCTGGGTTTTTTTGTTGGCCAACCGCTCCCGCAGCCGTTCCTGGAACGTTCTTCAGGTGTCCTCCCTGCTGGCGTTTCGGGCCCCGTTGGAGCAGCAGAATGACCGTGGGGAGAGCCCTGGCTTACAGAAAGCCCCCCCCCCCAGTGCAATGGGCCCCAAACACCCAGTGGGTGACTTGTAGCATGTTGTGGGTGCGCCCCGTGCTTTTGTCTTCCTTTTTTTTCCGATTCGTTTGAGTCGAATCGGCTTCCACTGGCTGGTGAGACGCCAGGACTTGGACAAGATGTGTCTACGTTGTTTCATGATTTTAGTGTAGGGCATTGCTCATCAAGGGTCCCCAAAGCTGCCCCCGAAAAGTCTTGGGGATCAAAGACCAAAGCGGCAAGAGCCGTCAGTGGTTTTGGCTTCATCTTTTTTGTGTCTTTTTCGGCACAGCTTTCGACTCCCAGATGTGATTGCCACATGCTATCCTCCTTTGTGCCTTCTCTGTGACGGAAACTTCCCCGTTGTCTTGTTTGACTTACTTGTTCGGTCACACTCAATGACTCAACCACACCCCATACATCGTTTCCAGCCGCCATGGTTGAGGCCATCAGTTCCGCTTGCAACATGCAGCGGGTGTTCCGTGGCCTCATATGCCACAGGACGCCGCTGGTGCTGGCTGTGCGGACCGCCTTGGCTGCTGGTGTGGGCGAGGGTCCTTGGCTGCTGCCAGTGCAGCTGATTCTGGAGGCTGGGGGGTCCTGTGGCCCGAAGGGGTGGTTTTTCTTGTTTTTTGCTTGAAGACAGCCCCTAAAACAGGTAGCCTCAAACAACGCAGACGTTTCACCGGCCTGAACCGTCATTTTCCAAGTGACTCAAAGTGGAAAAAAACAACAACGCAGCCATGCCATGGACATGTCCTCTCTGCGGCAAGGATTTCCGTCCTGAAACCCCCCCATTTCGCCTTGCATGGGCTGCGCTTTTCACCCACGGGGCGCCCTCCCCCGGCGCCAGGCCCGAGCTGCGGCTGGCGCGCCACGGCTGAAGCTCCGGGGCCTGGGAACCGGAGATCGCTGAAAACGCCGAGCTTTCTCGGCCAAATCGGCCACCTGCAAGCCGCAGGTTGGACCCTGGCAATGGGAAAATGGGAAAATATGATGGTCAAAAGGAAGTCCAAAAAAAAAGCAGGAATTGGAGACGAAAAGGTTTTAGTTGTACTGGGAGAATTGGAAAATATGATGGTCCAAGTGAAGCCAGGAATTGGACCGCAGGATGAATCGTCCTTGATAGGCCTTGGTTCCATTTAGTGGTTTTTGACCCACGGCCATACGTCACAAAACTGCTCCCGCGCACGTAGTTGAACATTTCGAAAGATACGCACAGGAGGCAGCCTAAAACGTTACGGTGATGCACTATGTTGATGCGCTTGACATGCGCGGAACCAGCAATTTGTAATATGTCACTCGCTTGTCTTCTGCCGGCGGCAGGGGTTGCCTATAGCGAAAAGAACTGCGATTTCAAAGTTTCTGCCAGCGCCAAGGCGGCAGACAAGCGGGGCCGCACTGCGCTCACCTACGCAGCAAGCGCTGGTAGTGCCTGGGCGGTGAATCTGGGGAGGTGGGCCCGTAGGATCTGCGCGCTGCCCCCGGTTCTTGGCGACAAGTGCGCCGTGTTCTGAACCAACTCGTCGGCGGAGGCATTTAGTGTATGACGTCGCTTGCGGGCTATGACCAGGCGTCTGACAGCGTTATCCGGAATGACTTGGCTGCTGCTGCTGGTTCCATTCATCTCAGTGTCACGATCGGGGCTATTTGTGTTCAAACTTGCGTTTGCTGGAGAAATGGTCTTACTTTCTTCGTGGTAATTACTATGCACGCGTGAAACATCATGTTGACAGTATATAGGTGTTAGATGTGCTTGGACGAGGTTGGGGCAGCTAGCTAGACAGACCCTAGATGGATATAGCCAGCGGGTCAGCTCAATGACTTACACTGTACCCTGCCCCACAAAGCTGCGTGTGCTGTGTTTCGTGATGAACTTGTCAGGTGGGCGCGTCTTTGGAGGGTACCCAAGAAGGTTGTTTGAAGTCGGTTGAAGTTGTTTGAAAGGGGTTTTGCTGGCCACAGTTTACCCATGATGGAGGTGCAGTTGGGCGCTGTTGCCCAGTTTTCCCTCCACATGTTTGTTAAAATCGCTAAAAGAAGCACTAGCGAACCAGTGAGCTTTCAGGTCGTTTCAGGTTGCTGCAATTGACCACCAAACCAATCCCAGGCCTTTTATTTGCTGATTCACAGCAGGGGGTGAGGAATGACCGCGACAAACCCATCCATCCCATGTTTTTCTTTGCTCGGGAAGCTCGAAACTGTTCATTCTCAAAACCAGTACATGGTCATTCCCCGCCTCTCGCACCTGCAAGTAATGTTCAAATGTTCTGTGTTTCGCACCGACACCAACAACTATGTGCATGTCTCAGGGTCATGATATCCCCTTCAACCTACCGCCGAGCGGGGGTGTCTTTTACAATTGTAAAAACAAGTACATGTGAAAATCCGGGACCTGCACCCTTTTGTCTTTGCGATAGCGCACAGTGTTTGTTTGACGCGATTTATCGGGGGGAGGGGGAAAGAAGGAGAAGGCCCCAAGCACAAGGAACACCTTTCGCGTCAAGGTGACTTTGATAATGGTAAAAAAAAAACAAGTATCTCAAAGTAAAGTGACCAACTAAATCTGTGCATGTCTAAAAATCGGGACCTGGACCCCAAAAGGAAAGCCTAACATGCATGTCAAACTAGAGGGACCAAATAAATCGGTTCTCAAAATCGGGCCCCCTCCGAACGCCGCCTTAGGCCTCCCGCTCTGCCGGGCGCTGCTCAGCTTCCGCGCGGAGCCTCGCCAGGCCAACGCCTCCGGCGCCACGGCTGAGAGCCTGGCGCGGCGCCAAGGCCGCGGAGGGCGGCGGAGCGCTCGGATGGGCTGGCAGGATGGCTGTCTTCAGGGCTCCTTAAAAGATACATTTTGCAACCAGTTGAACCATGTTGCTTTTTCCACCCAAACAAAGGGAAACCAGCATTTACAAGGCAATGATCAGGTGTATAATGTGGATTCTTTGGGAGGACCCAGGGAGTCTCCATGACCCCTCAAAACTGGGTCAAATGGGTCAATGACCCCATAATTTGTTTGGTCACGACTCGACCATTTTTTAAGGGTCATGGAGACTCCAGGGACCTCTTTTTAAAAGGTTGGTTTGAAAAGCAACCAGCCGGATGACCGAAATCCCTGAACAAAGAAGATTGGTTCCGAAGAAGCCAACAACGAGACCGTTAAATCCAGTTTTTAGGGGTGCCCCCATTTTGACTCACATACCGAAATCAAGCAAGCCAACTTGATAGAGGGCCGGGATCCCGAAAATGGGCGTCATTTTCCCGGTGAGTTTTCTTAGCTGAACCCTTGGCAGATGCCCATAGCTTCCAGCTGTTAGGGAAAAAGTCGACATAGAAATTCCGATTTTCTCTTGAAGCCCTGTGACCTGAGAGGACGACCTTCCATCAGCCCATGAGAACCCCGTTTTGCCACAGGTTCAGCATTTCATTTCGGGTTCAGCTGCTTCCTTCATTACCTCGCTTCCTCTCGAATCACAGCATTTCCAGATCCCGGTTGCAACCTTGGTTTGGCCAGGCCACCAAGATGTGCTTGAGCTTCTGTCGCAGGCTCGGGCATGTGCAGCTGTGGGGATGAAAGCTGAATAGTGAGTTGGGGGAGCGGGTCATGGTTCCAATGGACGTGTTGCTTGCCATATTCTGCTGATGGACGTGCCAAAGGAACGTCTCCCCAATGAAGTGGCCTGGCGCACAGAATTATCCTTCCTGAGGGCCCGGATGTGACTGGCCAGTCGCAGGGGAAATCCATGTGGGTGTTTCTCAAGATTGGGGACCCCTCCAGGTGGTTCCTTTGGGTTTCCTTCAAAACCCATCCAAAAAGAGGGGTCCATGTCCTACGTTGAGAAGCCATGTCGCTTGTTTTTGGCATCCGCCCAAGGGGTTCTGGGATCGCCCGGGTTTTTTCCCTTCTCTGATACCGGGAGTCTCCCCCTGGGGGATTCTGGAGTGAGTCTCTGGGAAGCCCTTTGTGTTGTATCACAGTGGTGTCCCACGGAGGAGCCATCGAAGCCCACGCCGAAGCCGGCAAAGCCGCCAGCCAGCGAGACCTCGGCGCGCCGGCGGGAGTGCGAAGCTGCGAAACTCCCGGTGGCCGCTCGCTCGGCCGAGGCGATTTTTTTGCTGCACACGTTTCGGGGTCCGGGGGGGGGGGACTTTTGGAAGGCCATGACTTTGGGATGCAGCATGGTTCTCGTTCTTTATCCCTGTCTGTTTGTCTGTTTGTCTGTTTGTTTGCTTGCCTGTCCTGTGTCCCCCACCTCCACCTCCTCCGTCTTCTTTTCCCCGCTTTCTGCTTGATAATTTGCTGGGACCCAAAGGCAAAGTCCACAGCTGGTGCAATGCGAACGCGGACGATGCGGGATGCTTTGCCCTTTTGATGGGTTGCATTGGCGCTCCTGGTGTTCAGCGCCTCGCACATGAAGCCAAGGACTGGTGCCGCAACGAGCAGCAGATGTGGCCCAGCTTGAAGCCAGCGACTGCTACATGAGGAACTTCGGCTTTCGGGGGCTCCCGCTCAAAACCCCTTGGAGTCCATACGTTGGGCTTGCGGCGATGTCATGAACCGGAAAAAAAAAGCTCGGTTAGCGTCGGCGATTCGCCGACCACGAGTGATGTTCAGGATGGAGTTGAGAAGCTACTGGCAGAAGTGGAGCCTTGTGTCCATGCAGCAACTGATGCTGCTTGTTCGCATTTGCGCTGAGATTGATGTGTCACCGCTATTCGGTTAGAGCAGCCAAGCACCATTCTTGAAAATGCCTTGATGCCGCCTATGATGGCCTCTGCACGAAAAGAAATGCCAAGGCAGGAGTGCAAAATGCAGCGCATCAACTCCGACAAAGTGCCTCGGAGCGAGGAGCACGGTGCGGCTGCTTGCACATATTTGCAGTTGTTTGCAGCCTTTGCAGCTTGCCGAGTTCCGAGTTTGGGCTCCAAGACTGGCATTGGTGTTCCCAAAGTCTGTAAGAAGCAAGTGGGCTGCATCCTTGCCCTTAGCCCGTTGACAGCCCATTCCATTCACACCTTTAGGCCAAGTAAATAGCGGTAGCAGAGATAGATAGCCACGGCCTATAGCCAAACAGCTGTAAATACTATGCCTTTTTGCTTGCAATGTGCCATTTTAGCATTCAAGGACGAGAGGACAGAAGCCCACAGCGGCACTGCATGCCTCACTTGTGGCTCTTTGGTGTCGCAATCCGGGCCGAGTGCAGGAGCTGCTATCGCGCTTAGTGCTACACCATGCTTGGGAGCAGATGTCGGATGACCAGCTGCAAGACGCTTGCTTTGCTCGAGGAAGCTCGGCTACCAAAAAAAAACAGAACAGAAAAAGCAACAAAACAAACAAAAACAAACATGTTTCCGCAGCTCTTTCAGCATGTGCTGCTTTTCAAAGTGTTTCTTGTTTGTGTTTTGTGTGTGTGGTTTTCTTGGGGTTTTCGTTGATGCTCGCCGGTCTGTGCTTTTTTTGTTGCCTGGGCTTGTCGAGATGGTTCAGCTGCATGGGTTGGAGTTTGGCAACACCATTCAGGCGTTCTTTCTTCAAGGGGCAGGCATATTAGAAGAACATATGACGCTGAAGATCCTGCTTGGAAAGGAAATCCTCTTTAACATCTAATTCAAGTGAATAATTTATTGTATGCTTATTTAAAATCAATTCTACCCAACTTGAGTAGAAGCAACGAAATAAACAATCAGCTTGCCTTTCCTTACCAGTTCTGTTCAAAGTCTCATAAAACTACAATCAAACTCCTAGATGGTTGGAAAGGAACTCCTATTTCAATTATGATTCTCGATAAGACATATGAATAAATGACTTGGACGAAACAGCCAGTTTGCTTTTCTTGCTAGGTTCTGATTAAGTTCTATCTAAGTTATACAACATATCCTACTTGGAACTCCTTGGAAGGAACGGAAAGGAACTCCTATTAAGCATCCAAACCATATGAAGAATCCCAATGAAGTTCTACATAATTCCTTCTTGGACGGGGATTCTTATTTTGAATCTAGTTTGCGATTATAATTGAATTCTATATCAATTCCTATTTAGGCTTAAGGCATTGCAATTTGAAACTTGCAAGCCAATTGGAATTGAAATTGCACGTTCCATGGCTGTTTAATGCTTTGTCACTTCTTTTAAGGGGCAGGCATGTTTGCTTTTGGACGACTAAAAAGCTTGTCTTACCTTATTTGGCTCCATTTAAGCTCTAATTAAGTTGTACTCAACATCCTAATTCACATTTAAGATCTATTCGACCATAATACGTCAAATGGAGATATCTTTAAACTAGTAGTTTAATTCAAGCTTTGAACTTCAAAACTTGTAAAGCAATTGAACTACAATAACATCATCCCTGAGTTTCTATGTGGTTTTTGCTCCTTGCGGGGGGCAAGCAAATTAGAAGAAACGAGCTGCTTGTTTTTCAATACTAGGCTTCATCTAAATTTCTAATGCAATTCGAAAACCATACAGGAATGAAAAGGACAATGCCAAGACACTTGCATTTACTCCGGCTTGAATGCGCAGCAGCAATTAGCAGCATGTTGCAACAATCCTTGTAGAGGACGGAACTTGCAGTTGCAATCACTCATCGGCAAAGCACGCGACTTGCTCAAAATATCAAACCTCAAATTCACAGAAAAGTGCCCTACCACAATCCCCCATTCTCAACAAGAACGAGGTGATCGATCTTCGGCAGGTTGATTCATAGGTAAGCCAAATGTGACAAGCACCCGTTTTGGGGATGAAATTTTGGCACGCACGCCCAAATGCTCAAGGGTAAGTGGCCGTGCGATGTGGAAGGGATGTGGCATGAGCCAGCGGATGTGTGAGATGGCTAAGGAGTACCTGTTCCCAAGTCGAGTTTCAGCTCAGCTTATTCTGTAAATCGGGAAGCTGATCGAGACTCGGCAGCAACAAGTTCTGTTTGGCACGCCCAAGTGGCCCGCAGATTGGCAGGCAGTTGCATCTTGCTGGCTTTGACAAAGCCAGGCGATCCAACCCATAGAGCTGACCTGTGAGGAACGGACATCATCTTCCGTTTGAAGGAGGCCGTCTTTGGTCTTCGTCCAGGCGGGGATGGTGCCGTTGCCTTGCTTACCCAAAACGATCAAAGCCTTGAACAATTCAGCTGACACGCGGCTGTGAGAGTCAGACACCCCTGCACTGGACTTGCATTTGACGCCTTGAGCCCCTGTTTTCCCCTGTTCAGCGCTGGCATCTTATCCGATGCCTTGGGCAGCGTTTTGTTCGAGGTTTGAATCATTGATCCTGGCGTTGGTTGCAAGGACCGTCGGAACTGCTTCAGGTGAGTTCGGTCCATTGCCAGTGGCGCCAGATGATGCCAAGAGACCCAGCGGCTATGCGCCAAAGGCCGGCGCTGCCCGATGTCTTGCTTTTGCCCTGCACTCCTGAACGAAGTTGGGGCACCATTTTACAGCAGGAGTGCATATTACAACCATCGCGGCTTTAGGTTTGGAGGCCCACGCATGATTCCCATCTCTTCCCTGAAGTTTGCGCCAAAGCCTGCGCCAAAAACTGCGCCGAAGCCTCCGCCAAAGACTGCGCCAAAGACTGCGCCAGCCGCTTGGTGAGGTACGTCGAAGCTGTTTGCAGCGGTCCTTTGGATGTTCTCGAATAGTTTCACTTCTGGCTTGCTCGCCGTCTAACAGTCTGTGCGAAGGCACCTCAAGCTTGGGCCTGTTACGTAATCTCAACATGGCAACCCTGTAATTATTGGTGGCTTGTATTTGTGGTTTGCGGATTGGTCCCTTGGCTCTTGTTCTTCTTGCGCGTCAATGGGAAACCCCAAATCTTCAAACCGCCAATCCAAACCAACAACAGGGAAGCTGACTTGCACTAGCGTTGCTGTGGCAGTGAAGCGAAGGGGAGCCAAAGGCCCGGTCACAGGGACAAGCCGCCCTGCCGATCCTCCATGCATTCAGCGCATTGCATGCCACAGCTCAGGATGGAAGTGATGACTGGAAGTCAGAGCCGAGAATGTTCCGGTTTTTGCAGGACAGGCACTGCTGTTGGGGCCTTGGCACAAGTCCCGGGTCGTGGTTCCAGCACCGCTTTTGGAGAAAACAGAAAGGAGATCGTCACCATTTTGAGCTGTTCCAACTCTTGCCTTGGAAACAGACAGGATGTCCTGGTTGTTTGCGAGGATGCCGGTTATGGCAATTCGCCATGCATAAATTGCACATAGGGCTCGCATATCTAAACTCCCGCATCAATTTCAATTTCGCAGTTTTGTGGCAGCCTTCGTTCCTTTTGCACAATAGACACCCAACGAGAAGTGATCCCCGTTTTGTACTCAAGTTGGGCCCTGTTGGGTGAGTTCCCCAATGAAAGGGTCGGCCAGAAAGAGGTTTGCGGCCCTTTTGTTTTGGCCAGGTAAAACGAGCTCACCATGGTCCTGCTCATTTTGGGTTTTGGACCAAGAGTTGCTGAGCGCCAGGAATTCCCGGGCTTCTCGGGGCCTGCTCCGGGTCCGGAGGCGGCTTTCTGGACAGATGCTGCACTGAGACAGCCCCTCGGCAGTGGTTCAGCAGTTTTCTGACCTGCCAAATCGATTTTCTCCGAAAGGACACCTAGGATAAGGTACTAATGTCACGTCTCCAGTGAGTTGAGGCAGCGAGCGCAGAAGCTCGCGGCGTGGCACCTATTCCCGCCTATGTCCAATGTGATGGTTGAAACATGTTGAAACCATGGCGCAGCCGTGACGGCTCAACGTGCCCTGCACCCCTTCTTTGGGGTCAGATACGCAGCGCACCCCGCCATGATGAAGCTATGCCTCCTGCTGCCGGCCCTGGCCGGCGCAGCAAAGGTGCTGAGCAGGAGAGACAAGAACCCCTGCCCCAACAACTTGGAGAATCGATTCCCCTCCACGCTGCTGGGCCGCCATTTGCACGAATCTTTTTAAATTCTTTCACTTTTTTGGCGAGTGGATTTAACCCCAAAAACAGAAAGCTCGACTTGCACAGCTCCAGGCTGGATGCTAGCTACAACATTAGCCAGGACCATGGCCTGAACCCCCTGGACGCCATTTGGGACACCGAGAAGTTGCGGGAGGCCATGACGAAGGACAGCGAGTGGAAGATCGGCATGCACTGGGTGCTGAAGGCGACCTTCTACTCGGACAGCACGGTGGATCGCACCATGGGCTTCGCAGGATCCAAGGCAAGGGATCCGGGCAACAAGTTGAAGAGAGTCGTCCATTTTCTTTTTTGGCGGCCGAAGGGCTTCAAGTCAAGGTGTGAGTGGAAGTGTCTGCGGGCAATTGCCATCAAGACGGGCCGAACATGCCACTCAAATGTTGGGTGGGGTGGGGCTTCCTCAATCAGAGGGTACAAATGATCAGATGGCGGAGTCATATCATTGCACTTTGCACTATTTCTGCAGTTGTTCAATCGAACAGTGGGGTTCCTGATTTGAGAATCCAATTGTCCCAAACCATTGCCGCAGACTGGTTCTCCAGGCCTTCCTCAAGGGAGCTAGTTTTTGAAACCGACCGATTCCTTTGCTTCGAGAAGCCAATTTTGGCTCATGCCAACCTTTTAGGGAACAGCAGCTGAAAACCACCCCCCTCCCAAGAACCCCCCCTAAACCACCCCCCCAAACCCCAGAACCCCCCCATAACCCCCAGCCCCCTCGCGCCATCGGCCAGGGCGGGTTCCTCACCATCACGGTGCCCGCTGGAGCGCAGGGCTTCACGAAGAGCGTGGCAGGCGCCGTGGGCCAAGCGGCGGACAAGTTGGAGTTCCAGTACCTGGCGCCGGGGAATTGGACTTCCGGAGAGGTCTACATGACAGACACTTGGGCGAGATGGGGAGTTGGAGGTTTGGGGGGGGGAGGGGTTCCACTTGGTTCGGGATCCACGCCCAATGCCGCATTTCCCCTTGGAGGCAGGAAAGTTTGTCCCAGGCAGCGTGGCCTTTCGATGGCATGCCGCGCGAGGGGAATTCTTCACGTGGAGATCTTCCCGCGTGGCCGACCCGCTGGCTGATCTTTTGCATGTTGCGCCTGCCACCTTTTTGCCTATGCAAGGTGTTCTTAGGCGTGTGGAGTCTCTTGGCAACCGGCTGACCAGGGGATTTGTTTCATCATTGAACCCGATGCGGCCACAGCCCTATGCCCACCCTTCCACCATAGCGGATGTTCCAGGTTGCTCCAAGTGTGTGCCTGTGTGTCTCCGTGTCTTCATGTCTCTGAGTCTCTGTGTGTCTGTGTGTGTCTCTCCGTGTGCGTTTGTCTCTGTGCCATGTGTCCCCGTGTCTTGCGTCTCTGTGTCTCTATGCCTCTGTGTCTCCGTGTGAGAGATCGAGACAAACCGGCGACCCCAGAATTTTGATTTTGGGCGTGCGAAGTGTCCCTCGGCCACACGCCCTGCCGCTCAGGACATTTGCCTCACGCCGCAGTCCTGCGACAACTACCAGTGCCCCTCGCACTCCAAGCTTAAGGCGCCCGGAGAGCCAGAGTCAGTCCGTCCATTAAAACCCCGCAGTGACTGCTTTGTGGTTCCCGGACGACATCCGGCTCCTTAGTTTTTTAGGTTTTGAGGGTTTAGTGGGGGGTGTCTTTTAACTCACTCGAAGTTAGACTTTTATGAGGACAGCCCAGATTGAGTTACTAATTGGCTGAGGGGTCGTTGTGAGTAGGGATTTCGGTTTGTAGCTTGACCCCCTTGAGAAATATTTGGGGCCTTTCTCAGGGTCAACACGTGCCGCGAAGTCAAGTTTACCTTGCATCTTTAGGTCTCGCAAGATTTATTCGGATAGACACCCTGGCAGAAAGGTCGGTCATCACTTGTTTGGCAACTGATTTGCGGAAGACATAGTCAGGTGGGGAGTTTGGTTGGGGGGTACATTTGCTAAATGACAACGCAGGTGTCCCAAGGTAAGCTCAATGAGAACAGAAATCTCATGTGGACGAAACGGGAAGAAGCTTGCTTGATTTTGATTTTAAAACTGGCACAGACACACTTCCTCTGAATGTCTGATTCTGTATCGTGCTGGGAGGCATTGCAAGTCCATGCTCCAAATGCTTCTGAAGTGCGGTTGCACTGGAGTCAGAGCTAGAGATGGCAATGTCCCCTAGAGGTCAACATTTGGTACCTGCAACAGTAGATGGACAAATTAATCAAACCACCAACAGGTATGGCGCACACCCCCAGTACCCCCCAATGTCAATGTTACACTGCACACGAGCGCTTTTATCGGGGTTTGATTTAATTCGTCGACCCAGCCTGATCCTCCAAACGGGCAATAACATTGAAATCGAGGGGGCAAGGGGGGCATTACAGCTGTAAGGGTTTGATTAATTCGTCCACCTACGGAAGTACTTGTTTGGCTTCGCGTTTGCAAAACGATGGCAACTGCTTCTAGTGGGTTTAGCGTTGAAGATTCACCAAGGAACAGAGAGGAGGGGTTGCTGTTGACAAACTGCAAACGGCGAAGCTTCCTTGTGTGTGTGAGATTTCTTCAGCCCGTGGGCTCTGGGCTCGTCCTAATTTGTGGGACTCGTGTATCAACCCAGGCCCATTCGGCCCTTTTGTGGCTGACTTCCAATTACTTTAGTGGTCACGTGGCTTAAACAGTGGTTAGTGACCATGGCTATATAAGATACAACCGATTGTAAGTCCCCTAAGTGGGAAACCACGGAGTTACTAAATCCTTAAGTTGTGTCATGCAGCTGGTGTAATTCGAGATTTGAGACGCTCCCCTCATGGAAGCTGCCTGAAGGGTTTTGGACGACTACTTGGCGAAGTGCCCTGCCCGCTGCTAGTTCGTGCGCAGTTACCAAGCCTCCAGTTACTTAATGTGCTGGTTCTCAGCAGGGGATGGGCTGGAATGACCCCTATATACCATCCATCCTATGGTATTCCTTCAGGAATCCCGAAACGGTTCAGTTCATTCCCAACATCTTTTCGCACCAGGAAGTTAAGTAATGTTCAACCTTCCAACAAAAGACCAAACATTGATTCCTTCAGACCCCCCCGTCTAGCACCAGGATACACCCTCCCACTAACATAGAACCTTTAAAAGGAAATGGTCTTCCAGGGAGCTTCCTCCAAGATCCATGGGAGGAAGGGCAAGCTTCCAGATGCATCCCACCCTAGCGCTCGCAGGGCGAGGGCATCTTCGGGCACTCGGAGGCGCGGTGCTGCGTAAAGCGGCTCTGCCAAGAGGAGAAGGTGGTGTGCCCCGAGGGGAAGCGCCCCCGATCAGTGGCACACTTTTTTTCCTCCTTTGTGTGTGCGTTTCTTTTGTAGTTCCATTTGTGTGTGTTTTTTTCCTAGAAGGGTTCCCTGGGATTACATGTCCGTGTATGGTAGGTAACCAAGGGGACAACCCTTTTTCTGAGAGGAATCTTGCTGGTTACCCAATTATAGTAACTGGGATTCGCTGGGTTTCCCCGAAAATTCCATTCACCAAAAGCGGGTGCCAACATCGAAATCTGGGCTTCTGAGGTACACGCCCCACGAAAACTTCACCAAGGGCGTCTTGGCTTAAAAGATCGACCGCCGATATGCCCTGGGTGGCATTTTGAATCCATGGGCGCGAACAAAGCAAAAGGTACCCTTTTAAGCACGCACCAATATGTACGCCTGCCTCGGCGATTGAAGCCTTGTGGGTTTTTCTCCCTGCATTCCGCGCACGCCAAGTAGAACTCGGCTGGGACACCTCCCAGTTCCATCGGAGCCTTACTCGCCGCTCAGAGGCAAGCCGGGTCACAACGTGGAGACCTGCTGCGTGCCCAACTTGTGCCCGCCCAAGCTCTGCGAGAACGAGACAAAGTGGAAGGAGTCGACGAGCCATTGACTTTTTGGTGTTGGGCTCGCTGTGCCAAACTGGGCCCCCGGATCCCGGGCCCACCACCTTTCCAGGTCTCAGGTGATTTGGTCAGCCTCGAGTTGGTTTGGATGGGTGGTGATTTGAAGGTTACATGGGAAACCGCCCCCCCAACCACTAAGCCACCGGGCCCCAAAGCACCCATGAAGGTCCATTGGTGGCAAGTGAGCTTTTGCTGGCACGCGGGTTTGGACAAAGGGGGAGTTATGTTCCAAGATCTGGGAGGGGTCAAATCTGCAGACTCCAAACCACAAAATACAACATCCTCGATGGCAACACCAGATCCGGTTGATACCCCAGGGGGAAGGTAGGCACTCCCTTGCGCCGCAAAGAAGATCTAAGTTCTAAATAGGGAGGTTGTGCCGTGCAGTTTCATCCAACGGTAGGCGGAAGCCACCTTCAAGCGCCCACCATGTCCTACCGAGCGGCAAAAACGGGGGTCCCGGACCAACCCTCAGTTGGTTGCAATAATTATTCTGATGACAAGTGCCCATGAAGAGTTCTCATTTGCGCAATCCGCATCGCGAGGACCGAGGCGACGTGGGCCTCATGGGCTCCACTCCGGAGGACTGCTGCGAGGAGAGGCTTTGCGCCAACCACGCCTGTGGTGAGCCAGGCCGGTTTCGGGGGGGGGTGGGGAGGTGGGGATGCGGGGCGGGTATGATGGACACTTAGGGT